CATGCTCGTCGCAGTCTGTGGGACAGTTTTTATGGCAGCACTTGCAGAGAGACCTGGATGTTCTCAGTAGAGCACTCGGGTGCAGTGTTGATAACGCAGCTCTGACAGTTCATCTGGCATTACAGCGGATGATCTCGCTAAATGGGGGAAAAACTGGTACGCGCTTTAAAATTAATGTAAAAAACGCGTTTTGGCTAACGGGTAAACTCTTATTCGATGAACTCCCATATTATCGAGGATGAGTAGCTCTTCTCTCCACCAAATCGTGCTTTAGAAACCGGAAATTTCTACTTTTGCCTTGTTTGCAAGATCTGGCCATCAACATAATTTAACTATGACAAATTCCAATATTAAAGAGTCAATTAGCTCTGGTTGCGAATTCCAAGAAAAGTTAACATATCAACCGTAAGCCCTCGAATTGACTTAAAATTAAATCAAGAGCTGTTTCGTAGGTTTGATTAAATTACTAGTAGATAATGGATGACATGATGTGGTTGTAGAATTTAAAAAAAGGAAACAAACCGCGTACGAGTCGCTGACTGATGTTGCTGAATTTTTAGGAGGGGGAACCAATTGATTCTGATGACGTCATATTTACTTTTTCCTTCTCTTTGATAAAACTAAATAGCCAGTTCAGCATATTGTACAAACATTCAGTATCTCTCTCTCTATTTTGTTATATAGTTTGTTCGTTATTGCCCATTGTACCCCTTTTCTCTCTATACTCTCCAGGAGATAACCATGACATGCGTCTTCAAACCCGGGAAAGTCGCCGCAGCTGGGAGAAAGCTTTTTGCTCTGAGATTCTTGTTCCTGTTATCACCGTACGTAATCTCAAAATTGAGTGATTTCTATTTGTTTGTTTTGCTAATTCATTTGCTAAATACGATCTTTATGTGTGTGATTATCGTTTTAGTGTGACTCTTATTTGTGCAATATATTCCTAGCATCTTGACGAGAATCTCCAAAACGCCTCAAGACTTTTGATGGGAGACGAGAGATTTGGTACGCTTTTCCATATTACTTGTTGATGCAGTAAAACATGCGTGGCAAGCTAATGATAGTACTAGTAATAGTGGATTGGAGGGCTTAGTGATATCCCTAAAAGAGGCGCTACCTCAACCTAAGCAGTTAGTGAAGCGTATTTTTATGTAGACATCTACGAAACAGGTTTTACTAGTACTTTTATCGTTCAATGGGTTTTTTTCCAATTTTTGCTAGAGCGTGCACGGCACAATTACCACAAACTCAGGCGAAACTGTATGGTACAAGCTTGGTAGGCAATAGAGTGTGCAAAATGAGAAGAATTACCCCAAGATGATATTTAAGAATGGAGGAGATTGACTAGTAAATGACAAAATTTCAATATCACGATATTAAGGCTAAAAATTTTCGTATGGTGTCCTTTTCAGGGAAGGATCCGCTGGTACGTCAACTTTACGAGTTCGATGAACAGGTGGAAGACTTATCTCAAGGCGTCAGGCCCATGTCTCGCACTCTTTGGAGGTACAGACACCATATAACTGTTGAGGAACTGAGTAGCTCTTTTCAAAGAGAAGTCCTTTCTGGTGGCGGAGAGGAATTCAAAGTGTTGGACGCTTTCCTCAAACAGGTAACGTCAACATATTGCTGCAAAAGGTTGGGGTTCTGTGCTACAAAGATTTTCCTCGTAATTCTAACCCCTTTTTCTGCCTAAATTTCGAGCAGCATCTGCTCATAAAAAAACCGAAGGGAGTCTCCTCTTTAAGTCTATCTTCACTTCCTTTTTTCTTTTAAACAAATACAGGAACACAAGTTGCGTTTCGTTCAGTTTCTGCCCGATGTTGTTCGCCTTCAGCGTCTATTGATGGACAGATTCCACCGACGAATTGATAGAACAGATGCTGAGAATTATACCGTCCGTGAGTTTCTCAAGGACCTTCCAACAGGTATTTGATGAGTTACAAATCTCTATCCAATATTGCCAATGCAAAAGGTTGATGTTTTAAGCTGCTTTTCAAACAGTAAGCTGCGGTTAGTAGGTGCACCTTTCCCTGCTAGTTTTTCCACAGGATTCTTTTTGACGACAAGGATGACGGAGGTGTCAAAGCTGTTGCATTTCCACCCCGCGGAAATGTGACTGCTAGATTTCAATTTTTTAAATTTATTTATTTGTCAGGAAATCTGTTCGTGGTCAAAATTTTCTTGGAAACTCTTCTCAGGTCATCTGCGCAAGTAAATTGCGTCCCAGACAAGATTTTGCTTGACAAGTCTCCGTGTTTGATATTTTTCGTGTGATTTCTTCTGGATATGGAAGTTTTGTATGAAGTTTACATAAGAGAAAGTTGCCAGTGTAAGTGCAGCTATGGTGACTCTGTAAGTAAATTTTAATTCTTCTAAAATCAAATTTTTATCCAGGATCTGTGAAAAACGAGTATAGGAACCTGTTCCAGAGTTTCAAGAATGCATGGAATGCTTGCAAGTCATTTCTCGGTGATCAAGGTACAATGATTGTTCCGTTTTTCCAGAGTACATGGGAGAAGGTTTAAGTAATTCTTGTGACCAACTATTCGCATTTTTGTAAATAGTGTTTGTGTAGTTAATAATTCATATGAGCCCAGCGTGGTGAGATAAAAAGGGCCTAACACATTAGTGATGCTAAATTTAGACTCCGATGGGGAGCCAAAGCGTAGTGTAATAATATCTTGAACATTCGAATTGCCGGTTTTAAATAAGGAGCACACTGATTTAGGAAATATGCCGTCTTTTTCTATTGTTTTTCCTTTTATCAATATAATTTTTTAATGTGGTAATTAAAAACTCAGACACCAATTCACTGTTTCTGTTGATTGTTTGCTTTAGCAGTTTTACCTTGCCCGTTTTTGAGTACTCTCATCTGGTTCAATTTGTCTTTGTCATTCTTTACACCCAAAGGTCGCCTGCGCGTCCCACAAGACCTTTGTAACACCACAATGGACAACGACTGTCCAATTGCGATGGTTCTCCCCTGCACCACCGGAATGGGAGTTTGTTCGACCTCGCTTACCTTCTTCCTGGTCAATGCAAATAACGAGTCTCTGGGAGCCTACCGTAGTGCAACTAATCAAGATAGGTATATAATTTTATAATGAATAGCTTACGTGTTGCTGTTTTCTTTTTACCTTCTATAGAAGGAAATAGTTGACCGACGTGATCTGACTCGAGCTATATAAATCGTATAGGCAACACTTTTCTACTTCCTTTAAGTCTCGGGTGTTTGTGAAACTGACTGAGCTGCAACATGAGACTGATATCAGCATCCTGCAGTTAGTTATCATCTCCTCCAAATGCGGCTTCAGAATGAAACACGTCAGGAATTTGGGCCATTATTTTCGATAATAATGTACATTGGAATAGTAACGATGTTGGTGAAAATCATTTGTCATCAGTCCTGCTCAGTCTTGGATAATTACCACCTAAGCATAGGACAATAACTACAAACAATTACAGTCATTATAATACATTCAACTCGTTATCTGTTTTCTGAGTGGCCGAAAGCCTTCGGGGAATTTTCGAAATCAGTGCCTCGGACGTTATCTAGCAGTAGATTATACAATAATTATGTCAAGGACACTCAAGGCCACGGGTAATCATGTCATGTATGACTGCGGTGCACGATTTAAATAAAAATTTCTAAGGGTAATCATGTCAAGTTCGCGCGCTTTGTGTTTCTTGCTGATTTGTATATTTTTATACGTTCAGAAGTAAATTATCAGTTCCACCTACTGTTGTGACCATTTTTTTTTTCGTTTAGTGTAAATTAAACAATTATTACATTCGGTTTTTATGATATCCAGAACAATCAAGGTCTTGGTAAGGGTTATCAGCCGAAGCCGAAGGATGAGGCTGATAACCCCTATCTCGACCTTGATCATTCTGGATATTATAAAATCTCATCCAATAATTGTTTATAAGTAAGACCCAACTGCACATCTCTTCTATAATATTCTTTTTCATTTATAGTCCCTTGGAGCGTGTCTCCGTATCAGAGGTGACCTTGTCGCACTTAATAGCCTATGATCCTGAGAGAGACCTGCTTCCCCTCATCCTGGCTCATTGTAACTACTCTCTGGAGGTGGGAAAGGAGACCTTAGTTCACTATGATTGGGCGGCTTTGGAGAGACAGCTGATTGACAGGTTGTTGAGGGGAAGGCCTTTTGTCGAGTTCAAGGTAGGGTGGAAGTATTTATTACACATAGCACATGATGAGAAAGAAAATTTTAAGTTTTTTTCAGTGGAACTCGTCTTCACCGCACAAGAATGTATTTATTCTCTTTCATTCTCTTCCTGAATTTGCTTCATCTTGCTGCAAACAGTTTCAATCTCATTTTTGAAAGACGTTTCTCTTAAGAAGATATGTTTCAATCAGTCACGAAAATTTCAGTAGATGGATAAAAAAAGCAAACCTTGTTTGACGTTTCAAAAATAGGACTCCCGTGACAGATACAGTCAGAACAGAAGTTATTCTGACTACACTCAGACGAGTTATTCAATGTGAATAGTTTATTAAGGATGAGTCAGCCAGTCTTGTAGTATACGCATCCTTATATGATCTTAACATGTGTATATTGAAAACTAAGGGTTCTACAAAAAGAACCTGTGCTTTGCCAGATACGAAAAGCCACTCAAAAACCACTCTTTGGAAAATTCGTTCCCACGTCACTCAAACGTCAGAAATTCCATATTTCGAAGGGTAAAGGGTTATATGCATACTGTGTCAGTTTCTGGGAAGTATGATGCAAACAGCAGTGTCGGCCCCATTTCTCAACACTTGGTGCTATTCATCCTTTTGACCTTTTATTTGAATTACCTGCCTCTCTGGTCTGTATCTGATGACCAAAAATTAGAAAGAAAAAAAACAGAACAAAACAAAGCAAAACAAACATTCCTTTTTAAAACGCGTTTCGAGCTTCGTGACCATCCCTTCACTACTGGAAGAATTGCAACCAAAGTAATTGTAATTTCTGTCAGCGTTTTTTTTTTTACCTTTTGTTTAGGACGAACGTTTTGCGTTCAGCCGAGACACCCGAGATGACGCAGTTTTCACTTCCCTCACTGGAAAAATTCCTCAGGTAAATTTCACAGATTCCATTTTTTTCGTTTTAATGTATACGTTAAACCAGTGGTACTGCAAAGTTCTGGAACAGAAATTTGCTTTCGCCTTAGTTTCACTGATGCACCCAAGAATAAAATATCAAGGTCTGGAATGTTTGAAAAGGAGATTTGATGTTGGTGGGTGTTTAATAACGCTTGATTGGCGATGCAAACAGGGTGTTTTAAATTGGGAAAACATTTCAAATTACCTTCATTTATGCAATATGTTTATTTATTTATTTATTCATGTGTTTTTCCATCTATTTTCTCATTTACTTGCATGCAACCTAACCTTATGTAGTTTCATTGCGAACGAAATCTTGCTTCATTTTTTGTTGTTTTGTCATCTAGTCTCTCTTTGATTGCATTTTTGGGAAACAGGTCTATGATCCGTCTTTACCACGGATAGAGCAGTACATTCCTCTTTCTAACGTGATAAACTTTTCCCTCCAGCTATTTCAGTTTACAGAAGCATGTTTTCGGCGCTAAATTGTTTTTGTTACGTCGACAGTAATATATTTATCACATTATTATTATGTTATTGTATGTATGGGTGTGGTCAAGATCGAAGGCACTTACACCAAGTGTTTCTTTAAAGGAATCCATTTCCCGCGTCATCGAAAGTCAGATTATTAATGATCTGCGGTCTTCCTTGTCTGATGTCTGTGATGTTATGTCGTCACTGGATATTGCCATTGGTTTTCTTGCCTCATCGGGTGGTCAGCCGGAGAGGCCTTTAAAATGGTATTTACATGAGGTACTTAAGCTACCCAAAGATCGAGGTCTCAAGAGTGCAACAGTAAGTATATTTCTCCTTTTTACTTGAAAGACTCGCTTAATCGGTCATCCTTCTTGACTGGTGCAACACCAATATCTGAATCAAAATTTTCTTGTTAGGTGTTACAAAAACTCATCCCTAGATGCCAGAGGTTGTATAGTATTCGAACGATGTGTGAGAGATGTCTAATAATTATTTTCTATTAGTTAACTAAAAGAGAAGCCCTGTTTTAGACTCTTTGCTCATATGCCAGGCATTGTGCTATGTAGGAGTGCTTTGAATCTTGCATGGGTTCTTATGGAATTATGTCATTTTGTTTCAGGCAGAACAGCACTGCAGTTTGTCCCATACCCTGGCACTGTGGCGGCTTATGGCTCTCGAGAGAGCAAAAATAAAGTCCAGGAATAAACAGGTTAGGTTTGGAATGATTCTCTTCACTCTGGCAAGTTTAATTTTCTGTGTAATTGCCGTCATTACTTGTGGAACTTAAGCCCTATAGCATTCGTTCGTTTGCAAGTAAAAAAACTATTTGAACTACGTTCAAAGTTTGATCGGTGTTTCTGATGTGCTTTACACGAGATATATACCTCATTTTTTCCGCAAGGTTATCACAGGGTATTTTTGATATTAAAGGTTTAGTGACGATTGTTTGAGCTAGTCGGATCCCTTTAAAACAAACAATTTTTGGGAATTCTTTTTCAGGAGCCGTTTGAGCAATTACCAGACGTTTTCAAGGAAAAACTTCGCTCAAGCGAAAAGGGCAGCCTAAATAGCGTCTTGCGAAAAATCGATATGGACATATTTCTGCCGCAGCTCCTGCAGATTATTCTTCTGAATGTCAAAAAAGATGGCGAAACGATTTCGACGATGATGTAAGACAGGCTACTCGAGATATTCCATTCTCTAATGCTTCAATTAATTAAGGAACAAAGTCGTTATTCTTATCTTGCAATTCTTACAGTTGCTTCCGTAACTTCAAGAAATGGCGCTTTTTTCTTGCAAGTGTGAACCTATGCCGTACAACCCATGACAGCCACGAGATTTTCTTGCTATGCCCAATGAATAGACTTTTGGCTTAAAACCGTTTTTCCCTTTTTTGTAATTTTTTAGGTGATAGTATTTCCTGGGAGGGATGATATCGTCAGTGTCTTTTCTCGTATTTGAACACTTTACTGCGCCTTGTTGTCCAATTTTCCCTAAACTTCCCCTTTAAATCAAAAGTCCTATCGTATTTTGTAAACGAGCTTGTCGTTCAAGTCCACGCTCAATTCTTTTTAGCACCGGTATTTAAAATGTAAATTGAATATAGTGAAATCCTGATATTACTAGGGGAGAAGAAACAGTTTACGGTACACTCTTTCGTGGCTTTAGAAATCCTTAACTTTGACTGATTAGCCTTGTGAAGTACTATAGTTTAACAGGACGAAGATCTAACTACAAATTTATTGCAGCTTTGAAGATTACTTGGAATGTTGTTTAGCCGACAAAGGCTTGGAACCAATCCCAGGAACAGAGAACATCCCGGAAAGCATCAAAATGATGCACTTAAAGGACGTTTGGAACTCCGCTGTCCAGCTAAGTGACGACTTCCACAAAGATCGTCAAGCAGTTTAATCTCCTGCTTAGTCAGTTAAAAGAAATGAATGGTAAATGCTAAATTTTCATAACAGTTTGGCTTCTGGCTTCAGTTTTCTCTCGTGTAATAATGAGGTACTAGATACACGTAATAAGAAAGAAATTTGAAAATGTTGGCATGTAATAAACAATGCCATTTTTGTAGCTACCGTGAGGTACTTCGTTGCTGTAATTTATGAATAGGGCCGGCCTGTTTCTTTTGCCACGTTATTTACCTTTGGTTCAATTGAGTGTTAGAAAAAAACATTATCGATGCCATCCTCTGCAGAATAGTAGAAAAAGCAGAAGCTTTTATGTATATGGAAACTAAAGCAGGACGGTATTATTAATTAATTATTCATATTTTTTTTCTCATACAGTCTAAAGATAAATCAAAATGATACAGCTGAGAATGATATTAGCATGGCATGCAAGTTTGAACCGCACTTTGAATTCAGTAATGTCAAGTTAGTATAGAAAAGTATCTCTTCCATTAAACTTTTGAATAAATTTTTTCTTTGCTGGTGTTGGTGTCTTCTAAAGTGATGAAATAAGCACCCCACCCGAAGTTATGCCTGGACAAAATTTTGTGCATAGGAAAGGTCCTGATGAAAAGAAACTTTGTCACAGTACTTCCTGTTGTGATTGGAGTTGATTCAATTCACCGCTTTTCCCTCTGGGCCATCGTTTCTGCCAATTTAGTCATAAAAAAGACGAAAACTGACTAACCGGTTCTTGAGCCAACACTTTCCAGGCTAGGAGAGGAAAAAACTTTTTACGGCTACTTACGGACTGAAATTTTATACTTCTAGCGCCTGTAATGTTTTAAGATACTTCTTGGGCTGTACTACACAAATAAACATGTAGTTTCTTCTGTCGGCTTAAAGCATCGTTGACATTTGTAAAGCAGCCGTTACAGTCGACTATTACCAGCCAAACTTTTTGGTACAGTCCAGTACAATTTTGTACTCTTGTTTAGTATGCTAATCCAAACGGCTCAACTTTTTTTATCCACGAGGCGCTGGATGAAAGGAATGAGGCTTAGTTGATAACAACATGTTAACCTTTATTGCTGATAATTGATTTACTGAAAATCGATTAAGTTAATTTTCGCTCATTCAAACCTGGAGGTGCCTAATTTTAGTATTACATTTAAGCTGAAGTGAATTTTGTGCTCTTGTTTTTGTTTGCTAATCGAAACGGCTCAAATTTTCATCCACGACCCACTGGATGGAAGGGATGAAGCTTAATTGATACCAATATGAGTTACTAAGAATTGATTGAAGTTGTAACGTAATCGTCAATTTAAACCTGGCAAGTGCCTTATTTTAATACTACATGTGAGCCGGACCACAATTTTTAAGTTGATTATAACATCGAAAACATTCATTCTGCATGTTTGGAGAGTCCTTTCAAATTGCGATTTAGGATTAATATAAATTCTGGCAACTCAAATAACGTATGAACGACAAAATCTGAAAGGTTCTTGAACTCCAAAAATTAGAGCCTCAGGACATCATGGACCTCCAGCGTCCTTGGTCTTTTTCACGCACATCTAACGCAAGCTCGCACGCGTGAACTATGTGCATTACTTTGACTTGATCAGGAGTCTCATCCAAATCGGAGCTGTTATTAAAGACCCTCGATAAGTACTCACCGAGTCTGGAAATAAATAGGAAGAAGATTATACTCTGAGAACAATACAAATTTTCCGTCCTCTAACGCTGACAAGGTGGATGACCCATGAGCACAAATTGCTCATAGGTGTGTTACAAGAGTAGTTAAATCAGAGAACACAGAAAACCAAGATTTTAGACTTTCCAACCATGTAAAAAGATAAAGAGACCTAAAGCTACCCCTTCAGCCTTACGTATCTCGATTTCCTTATCACTTAGCGATTAATTTGGTCCCTAACTGTGGGCATAAACGGTTTTTATGTTCCTTAAGGAAGGATAAGATTTTTACTAGATGGCACCCTTGACTTCCCCTTTAGTTTGTACTTTAAAAGTGCTATTTCTAGGGATTTTATCGTGCCTTAAGCATTATTTGTAGTTTGCAGAATATAGTGTATTGTACCGTAAACAGCGTTTTGAACTCTACGCACTTAGTAAGCAGAATTAAAACCTTTACGGACTGTTGTAACTTTCCAAGTATACCCTTGTAAATTAGACAAATTTACAAGTGGAATTAGTATGGCAGTGAACTGTTTTCGTTGCCAATGTAAAGTTTCTCGCGTATGGTTATTGATAGTGTATGTGTTATACGGTACGTAAAACTACTAAATTTGGGTAATAAAACTGGTGAACTGTAATTTATTATAAAAAGTATACTGTACTACACACTTTGCATGTGTTGCATAGATATATCATTGAGCTGTGGCGTTAAAAGTATTTCTTTGCTTTATGTAAAATATAGTAATTACCCCATTTCACGATTTCTTTCTTCTTCATGAACAAGCAGCAAACTGATGACTTCAATCACTCTTCTCAAAAACAAGTCAACTTCCATTCTTTTCAATGCTGCACTTAGTAATGCAATTGTATCTCGTGGCATTTCTTCTTTAAAACTTTCTGAAATCTCTTCAAACGGATCCTGAAAGAATTGAAAAATTAAGATCCATCAAAAAGAAAAGAAACAAATCCAGTCTATCATCTCCACAAGTTATGCTCTGTATTTTGGGGTATCGTTTGTCAGTTTATGATTAGCTGATCGTTATGGGGAACTAATTTTGGCAGACGGAATGCACTTTTTTGACTGCGAATGTTACAGAGAGAACAAGAATAAACGTATGGACTGTTTATCGGGACAAAAAAGTAGTCTTTGTGTGGAGGTAACCTAAAATATTTCGAAAGAAAGGAATGGCGAAAGGAAAGGGCTGGTCTGGGGGATCGTAACCTCTGGACAGGAAACATCTTGCCATCACCCAAAAGATGACATTTTTTTTCAAACGAAGGTGATTTGAATCTTCTGTAACAGCAATTGACTAAAACACACCTGTCTATTCCTGAACAAGAATTTCGCACGCGCTTCGGCAATTGTGGACCACAAATCCAAGATGTGACACAGACAGCAAGACTGTTGAGCCTATGAGATAGCAAAGTAATGAAATAAAGATAAAAATGGTAAATAAAAATTAAAGAAAGGGCAAGATGCATGCCATCCAAATCCTCATACACTTAGAGAATACTACTTCTTGGATTCAATTCAATTCGAGGTTTCCCAGTGCTCTGTTCAAAGCAATTTTTTTACATTCTTATCAGGTGTATTTTTTGAATACCCATACTAAGACACACAGAGGTAGTTGATAAAATCAGCGATCTTTTCAATAGTCAAGGCACCACAAACTGTTGCCTGGTCTTCTCCTGCAGTATATCGCTTCTCCCCTCCTTCCCATGCACCTGCGTTTATTTCAAAATTGTCAGTTCAGCCCTGGTGTTTATGTAAGGCTGGCCACAGTCGAGGTCGGACGTTTCACTCAGAAAGTATAGTACATGTAAAAAACTTTTTTTCAATCTAAATTTTTGAAACAACCTTTTACTATTGAAAGTAATTAAGCGATCGAGATCGAGTATCATGACAGCAATATTGCTCCTGTTGCATTAAGAATAATTACCTACCTTCTTACTCCTTAAGTTCGACTTTCCATCACCAAGAAGAAGAAGATTCTTCAGATAATCGTAGACTTTCGTTTCTGGATCTCCACCTGTCGTTGACAGGAAACCAATTGCCATTTCCAGTGTTGAAAGTAATTCACTCACGTTCCTAAGTTCCTTCAATTCCGACAGAATCTGAGTGCGAGTATTACCATCAATTGACACCTTAAAAAAAGAACGACAAATGTTGTTTAAAATGATTACTATCCACCAGAATTGTTTAATCTCACATGTGGTTTTCATAGTTTATCACCAGATAAACTTCTATTGTTTAAAAGGGGTAAGTCTAAAGAAACTGTAGTGCTGCGTCGGGGAGGAGTATAACAGTATACCTTGGTGTTATCAACTTAGTTTATAATATAAATTTGCTTCCATAAGGGATACTAAAGCTAACGTCTCGGGCGTTACCCCTTCGTCAGAGCGAAACCCTTCGACCCGAGAACCCTATTCTTTATTTGTTCAGAGCTGGCATTTTCACCTGCATAATGTAACGTTTGATACAATTTTTTCGATCATTACGACTACTTATATCTTCTAGTTGTAATTTCTGGTGAGATTTGTGTATAACTATTACAACAAATTAAATCCTGTCTCTTAACAGACCAGTCACGTACGAATTTTGAATATCTTACTACAAGGCTAACCTGTGGAATCTTTTCCCTCAACTTGACGAAGGACATATGGCGGTCATCTTCATGAAACACGAAATCATCCAGCTTAAAAGATAGAGAAGCGAAAATTGACTAAGTGTACTTAACGACAGTGAGTTTAACTGTTGGTTTGTAGAACTAGCGAATTCCATACCACTACTCTAGTGTGGGACAGGCGCATTTCCAGAAATTCAGTTTTGCGTTTCGTATCACTCTGGTCTACAGATTGTATGATTCCCTAAATTTACTTGATCGCGCCGTATAGGAAATTCAGCCATAAAGAAGTCGTCTCCAAACTGAGTGACTTATGGAAACGACAAAGAAAATTGATGACAAAGGGAGAGCTATGAAAACGTCGGGATTGAAATTAGGGAGTTTAAAAACTGTTCGGCATAATATATTTATTTAGTGTTATGTTTTGCAGCTCATGATTTTGTCTCTTAGACGGTAACCTATTCTTATCACGAAACAGACAAAATAGTTTGTGCTTTTTCTCGGAAACAAACTGTAACATGTACCTTAAACTCCACGATAGGCCTTCCACGAATGAACTTATCGACTATTTGCTTCTGGAGGGCTTCCCAGTTGTACTGCAATGACGTCTCCTTTCCCACCTCTAGTGTGTAGGTGCAGTTGGCTAGCATCACTGGTAGCAAGTCTTTTTCTGAGTCATACGTTACCAACTGCGACGACGAAACCTCCGTAAAAGGAATCTTGGCGATAGTACTATCATTTAGACCCAAAATATTTGGAGTGAATCGAAAATATATACTCACTGAAGTAAAGAAGATCAGAGATAGGCAAATACGTAGTTGAGGGGAGGGTTAGGGTTGTAAGCTGCACGGTTCTCCTCTTTAACCCGAAAGAAAATGACGATTTATAATACTATAGGAACGTGGTATGCCCTCAAATGCCAGTAATATATTGGTGTTGAACTCCCTCCTTAAAAGGAGTCCTGGCCCGGACAAAATCTCGTTATCACTACCACTACAATTTGTTGTACAGTCCATGTGTGTTAGACTCCCCATCCCTTATGGGAAAAAAATAAAAGACTGAGATATGGCACCGTTTCAAGTAATCATGAAATACATATCAACCTTTAAAGGGTATTCTGAAGATGACAAAAATTTGATCGGAATTAGAAAAAGAGCACCGACCTCACAATCGGTGCGTAAGCTAAAAAAGCAGTCTATATTAGAACTCAATACCAACAAAATGATTCTCGAATCTAGCTCGATTGGAGATGGAGGGATATGTAACATGCCTAAGAGATTGGAATATGTTTACCCAAGTGACAATTGCGACCCTTACATGATAATAACCTCAATGACATCCAATTTTTTGCAATTCTGTACTCTAGTGTCACTTATGTAACTGAATTAATTTAAATACCGTGTCCTTTCGTCAGATCCAAAAGCACTGTGGTATGTTTCCACCATTTCATTATGTGTATTGACCAAGAAGAACAGTAAAGCTTTGCAACAAACACCTGGGCCAGCTTCAGCTGGTAGCAATACTGACATGGTGGAGGTCATATCAATTGGTTTCGAGCACTGTTCTTGAGAAGGAGTAAAACGACCTGCCGAAAAGAAATATTAAGAACGCACTACGATTAGTAAGCAATGTAAATACCAATTGTTCTTCTGAACCCGTTATGGATGTCCTTGTGTTACTTTACTAGATTTTAAATGAACTGTAGCATGATCATTATGAAACACTACACTGTTACCCCTTAAGTTCTTAAAAAGTTTTTAGCAAACGTTTTCCGCTCACCTTGCGAACTGAGCTGGAGGCGAACTTGATCCCAAGCAGTGCGAAAACTTTCGAATAACTTTGTGACGCTTTCCTTGTGATCTGAAAAGTGAAGTAAAACGTTGGTTCAGATCTGCCACTAATTCTGAGAACGAAGTTACCCAAAGAGGAATTTCGACAAAAAAGCGAGTTTTTTTCCAGATTTGTAGCACCAACCCCTTGTCACTATCTGCAGCTTCGAAGAAGGAAGAAAGAGGGAAGAGGCTTGATCCATAACATCAATTCTCGCTGTCACCAGCAAGTGCTGTGGCCGTATTATTTCCGGTCCATAGAGAGTAAAATGTTCATTTTGGGTAAGAGTAAGCTTGGATTTTTGGATCATGATGAGAAAATGACTATTAATTTATTTTTCTGAAATGCTGCATCACTTAATTCCTGTCATGCTGTCCACATTGGTCGTGCAAATAAGCTATTTTGCTGTCGCCCTTCTTGACTCAAAAGCAAGGTAGGGTATTTTATTCAGGGCCTACAAAAAATATCAAAGGGTATCAGCTTCGGGAAATCAATCGTCCATACAATAGCGTGTGATATGAGAGTGGGCAGTCTGATCGGAAGCCGTTCCAGTGACTGAGCGTGCGATTTGTGCCTCGGTAGCTGGTGAAAGATATCATCAGAGTCAAAACGAGAACAGCTGTTTGTTTGAAAATTATTGTTCGGTTTAGCTGCGATGTTGTGTAAGATAATTAAGCTACAATTGTTTTTTGGGTAGATCTCTGTCCAAGACGAGAGTAGACTTTTGAATGATCATTCACTTTCTCTAACCATCTAACTCGTCAGGTTAATCCTCAACATAATTTCCAACTTTACCTTTAGACAATTCTTTCAAAACCTCCCGTATCTTGAACTTATTAGCGTCATCTCGGTTGATTCGTCGATTAAAGCGATCAGTTAGTATTCTAAGCAAAGCCAAAATATCCGGTAAGTGACGTACTGCACGAAGTCTGTGCTCCTACGAAAAAGAAAAAAGAGTCTGTTTGTGTTCATGATCAAAATTAGAGTCGCCTTTTACCAAAGAGTTTCCTGTAATTCCATTCACACAGTACCTCCTTAAGAAATTTTCCAAGGATCTTGCATGAATCCTTGTTTGACCTGACGTCTTGAAACTGACGAATGACATGCTCAACAGTTAAACGAGTTCTGTATTTCCAAAAGGTGGGGTGTCCAGGATGAATGTCTGCTGCTGAGCGAGGAGGCGTGGGGTCGTCCACCTCGTAAATCTCCCGCATGAGGGAATCACTCCCTACAAAAAGGCCACGAAGTTGAAGCTTGATCACAGATATTTATTTCAGATAAAAAAATAATCACAGCTTTATGCACGTTTCAAAATTCAGCTCAGATTTGTCAGACTTGTCATTTACAATAGGAGACTTATGCTCTGTTAAAAGCTTTATAGCTTTTACCACCGTCATTAAAAGCTATGGGCAAACTTATGACTTTGGGTGCGCTTTGATTTTACAAATAGTTACGAAGCCAACCAAATTACATTACAAAAAAACTATTATTGAAACAACGTTGGGGAGTTTGCATCGCCCTAGTTACGATTATAAAGCCTTTCTATCTTATTTCACTCGTTTCAGTCACGGTAAATTGAGGCAAAATAAATTCTTAAGGCTATAATTAGACTATTGACCCGAAAAAGGAGTTAGAAATCCCAATGAGGTCATTTACGAAAGTACCCCTTGAGGTCTTACTGAAAAAATATCGTCACTACCTAATCTCTTATCGTTGACAGACAGAGTATAGAAATTCTGCAGTCGTTCCTCCAAATTCTGTACAAAGAGAACAAAATTAGGATTAAAATAGTTAATAACTTGAAAGGTGATATAATGCCAAGGAATAACACAGAATGCCACGGTATGGTGGGTTCCTTTCCAGCATAGCTCCAGCGGAGCCTCCAAACTTACATATCGACGACTCGGTGAAGCGAAGTCGTGTAAAAAGCCAACTTTTTTGGCTTCAAATGAAGCTTTCCGACCTAACTTAGAGAATCGTAAGGACTGACTAGCATTATTTATAATTATGACGAAGCCAATTCGAATAATTTTTAACAGTCTGGACACAATTGATTTTCGGCCGAGTTCGTCCGTCCGTTTAACGCTTAATATCGGTGATCAGACACGCGGTAAAGAAAATACAACCTGAGCTCCTCTTTCAGCGTCATTTTAATTCACATGTTATTTGCATCGATTGATTTACGGAAGTGTCAAACTTATGCATAGCTGAAGTACTGTACATCACTTCTAAGGAAAGTTTTAAACTTCGGTCAAAATAGGTATAACTGAGTTGCTAGAAAATGCCAAGCTAACCTACAAAAAATGGTCGGTGTCTGGTCGATTCTTACCCATGGTCGTTCGCACCCAGTTGTTTCGTACCCAAGTGCAGTCGATTCGTACCCAAGTTTGAGTCGGTTCTTACCGTAGTTTGAGTCACTTCTTACCCAAAACGCTGATCGACTCATACATTTATTCGAAATCCCTCACACACGAGCCAATTGTTAACATGGATAACATCCTGTATTAGTTTGGGTAACGACCGAGCTGGATAAGAAACGACACGAACGTCCAGTAACCCTAAAAATGCATTTTAATTAAATATAGCAAACATATTTTGAACCCAAAGACACAAATTACTATGAAAAAAAAATACATATAAAATGAGAAAAGCAAAGAAGCAAAAATCCACAAATACGTGCGATTATCAGCACTGCATGAAACACTGGCCTCTTACCATGCAAACAGGTTCCAAAAACACGGTAGAAAAGTGATTTTCCCATTCTCTCCGTTCCGCTTTAGTTAACCACTTTGCAATACCATCTGTTCCTCCTTAAACGTAGATACAAAACTATACAATTTGAAGTAACAGGTTTCTCTCGTAACTAAGCTGTCTACAAAATATGAACGCTTTTTATGATAAATCAGTATTTTTTTAACCCACAAGACCGCTTGTCTGAATACATTTTGCCCCGCATATTAGTGTTCAACAATATTGTTAAAGATCTGTTAATCGATATTTGAAAACATCGATCCAAAATAATTACCCTCATTTCCACGCATGTGCATGGCACGTCGGCGTCAAATTGAGGAAAAATACGCAAAACACTACTTTACCAAGATGACAAACTTACAATACGGAAGGAAGTAAATAAAAAAGGAACGAAAGCTTTTAAGGGTAAGTTGGAGAAGATTAACACGGATTGTTAAGATGACGTTCTCAGGAGATACAAACTTTGACGCAGCACCTCCAAAATTGTCACTGAGTGCTTTAGGGGCAAAATGAGATTCCTTTCGGACATGGCTGCCATATGGGTAACATGCTTTATTTGATTTGAAAGAATGTGACTTACTATTTGTTGCACGATACACAATCTCAGCTAACACACTATGAATCATCAGCACCACTTCATCCACGCTCCTTTCCAGGCTTTCCGATATATTTTCCACATCATTGACGAGATGTACCCAGAGGAAACCCCCAACATTCCGTGGTTGAACATCTAACTCCTTTATTAGCTGACTAACGACCTTGGATTAAGAGCAGATCAACTGTGTGTGAATATTGACTGATAAAGGAACGTTTTCTTTAATGTCACACTGGAAACAATGAGTGGTCAAGTCCGAATCAGTCCCTGCAAAAAGATATTGTTTGTAAACTGTTGTATCTTTCATCGCCGAAAGCTCCAGCTCCTGACAATAGAAAATGGATCCGTTGTCTTCTGAGGTGTGTTAGGGATTATGATAGAACTGATGTGGTTAATTTCTTGAGATGAATTCGATTTGCCTATTGATGACTCATAGGAAATAAGCAGAACTAATGAGAACAGATTGCGTCTTGAATTAAGTGCAACATGTCATACATGTTACGTTCTAAAGTTTCTTGTTTTCCTCGGCTAGCATGAGATATTTAACGCCGCTCTATATTAATTATTAATGAATGAAATAGCCTTTGACGAGAGAAATAGATTGCTTTGGAACTATCAAAGTTTAACACTATTCTGTTGTCTACCTCAGGCTGTTCTTGGGCTGCGGACAGCATCGCTGAATGGAGAATAAACCTCAAGAGGCTCAACATAGTAGGAGACAGATCTCTTTCAGAACCCACGATGCGTTTGGGGGTTCCCAAGATGTGACCTTTGTTAGATCGGTCTTCCCTAAAAATGCAATGTATCATGCAACTGTTGAGTTACTCTGCAGTGACGGTCTCTCCTGTATAGAATTCTTTACTTCGTTTTCGAATTGAGTTGAATTTGCTCTTTATTCTATGTGCTACTCTTCCCCCGACAAGATTCCCATTTCTAACTCGACCTAGATTTTTGGAAAAATTTTTCGTGACTTACATCCCACGAAAAATAAATATATTAATGCAGTATCACATACCGACGTTAGCTTTATCCAGTTTGCTTTTGACCAGTTTCCATTAATTTTCCCCTTGCATAATCAAAAATTACGTAAAAAGTGTTTCATTTTACTTCGGTGGAATAAGGTGAATACCTTGATTTATTATATGGACTTGAGTATTTTACCGAGAACTATAAAACGCTAGTACAATCAATACGATCTCCTCATCAGGGAACCGAGTGGCGTATTTTTCGTATGTAACATGAGTGGCGATATTGAGCAACCACGTCACAATTTCCGCCTTTTCAAACTTTGTTGAATGTATTTATTTGCCAAAGGCAGGTAAATTTACAATAGGACAAGGTTGTCCCCTACAAGGTAAATTACCTCTCCCTTTTCCCTACAAACAGACAAAATTGAAGCACTTACAAGCCCCCATGCTATGAAATAACAAAAAAACTTTGATAAGTCTTAGATAAAAGAAAGATTTTAGTTTTTTAACGAAAGACGGTAGTTCCTTTTCAGCTCTTATGTTATCTGGTGAGACGTTCCATATGTTACTGATTCTTACAAAAAAGGAATCTCTATGAAGTGAGGTTTTAGCTTTCTTATTTTTGAGAAAAAGACCAGAGGCGCCATGGCACGAGCATCAAACTTGGTCTGTTGGTCATTTGGAATATTGAATGGCCGCAAAATTTTTTTGTGGCAAATGAAGAAGATATAACTACATTTTCCGAACAACAAAAGAACGAGAACACCATGAAGAAACAGCTGCATGATCTAAATATTTTCAAGGAATTTTTCGAAAGTTGCGACGAGACAAAGGTAAATTTTTGCCCTGTCCGAGCTAAATTGCCTACAAAGGTTCGTAGCGAGGCTGAAAATAAAAGTATTTTATGCTTCAAGTTAGAGTGAGTAATCGAATTTTCATTAAGCTTATAAAACCAGTTCACATGTATTTTTGCCTATCTGACGGTTTTACATGTAAACTTTTCAATAATTTGGGCGCCGAGTATTTTGTTTCTTTTGATACCCGGTATTTTTTAAAAGCTATGTATAATTTACATCCGCATAATTAAAATAAAATTATACGTGTGTCTCAAGGATATGAAATTTATGTTCTCGTGGCACGAATAATATCACACTCGTTCGCCGCGCTCCGACGTAAAATTCATATCTCCTCGCCACCATGTAACAGTCTCCATAAATAATCTAATGACTGCGAAAAAAAAAATCGCAACTGATGTATATAATTTTTATACATACCCATAAATCGACGTAACCCTAACAAGAACATTCAAAAAGTACATAGAAGTAATTTTGTAGATACCGTGTAAGTACGCAGCGTAGGATAAGTAGCTAACGAAGGGCTAACGCTCGAAATGTAACCTTTAAAACTCTTTACGGTGGCCAATTTACGTCATTAACTCAGTTGAGAATACTTGATTACCTTGGGTTACGTAGCGTTTAGTAAGTATGCGTAAATACTAATAAGGCAAAATATCAGATACCGGCGTGCCAGTCTGTTGTTAGAAACCAAACAGTGTCCTAGGCCTCCGATCGGAACCGACGAGTCACAGTAAGGGCAATCGCGCTGCTGGTATGGTTTGCCACACTATGAAGAGATAACTATGCGATTATAATGCTGTTACTACTTATAAATAATACGCCAGGCCCATTTGTATAAAGGGCTAACTGATAACATTATCCAACAAATCGCTATCCAGCGGATAAGTGACAGCAAAACGTTAGCGTTATCCACCGGATAGAGATTTATCCTGTGGATAGTGTTATACGACCTTCGAACAGCCGGGGCCAGGTTATTTCAGTAAAGCCGTTCTATAAGATAAGTCAACCAATATAATCGGTCGATCTTTCAATCAATCTTTTGACCAATCATCAATCAACCGATCACTGAATCAATTGGGCCAACCATGAATCTATTAGTTAATAAAACAGTTAATCCGTCAATCAATTAATCAATCAATTAATCAATCAATCAATCAATCAGGTTGGTCGGTTGTTCAGTCGATAAATTAGTACATAACAATACTTACATCACCAACAAAGTATCGATGTTCCTTTGGACATTCTAAAAAGAAAAAGAGAAACTTCTGAACAAAGTCTTGTGCCAGAGAGAGTCTACCAATATCTGCGAAAATATGAATTTGCTACAGAGCGATAAAATGACCGAAAGTAAACAAGCAGATTGACACTGAGAGAACGTCGGGCATTCATCATCATACTGGTAGACTAGGAGTAAAAATCCTATCTGATAGATGACTTTCATGTACATTTAGGACACATTATTTGACCCACATGTATACCAAAATAACTCCGCATCACCTGCCTACTCTCTGGAACTTCGCTTAATAGCGATTGAATGACCACTTAAGTATGGGGTAAGATACTTACCATACCACTGACCATTCTGCTCTGTCATGGCCGATCGAGTTTCTTCAAAATTGTCTTCTGGCATTGTCGGGAGAAAAGAATTCTGCAGAATGAAAGGCGAGAAAAATCTGTCCAGCTGTAACACAGCTTGTGGCAAGGGGAAAACTCTATTATCTCCTTTCCATGTCTTTTTGTTTGGAACACAAAAAATTGACGTTTGGGTTTGTATGAAAGATGAAAGAAGACTTTCAACTTACGATCATTTCACTCGGAGCAAGAACAATCTCCCTTAAAGGGTTCAGCAACTCATCAAAACCAATGCAGCGAAATACGGAGGTCAGGTGCAACAGGATTTCGGGTAGAGCCTTTTCTGTCACGCTCTGAGTCTCTTGGTCAGCAAGGAATGGGAACTCTAAGTTCTGAGAATTCCTGAAGAGATTCCTGATCAAACGTTGTGCCTGCATGTTTAATAAGACGAATGTTTCAGAATTGGTGGGAAATCATTTATACGGAACCAAAGTATCGTGAACATCACGAATAGTACCACTTCGTTCATTGTAACATTTAAGGTTATCAAGAAAATATAGCAGGTGAGGTTAGAGGCCTGGTCTAGACCTTTGGATATATTTATTTTACAAAGGATATTTACCTGGACTCCTTCGACCAAAGGTATGTCTATCGGAAATTAGGGCTAACTTGAATTTGTTGTTCTGAGTGAAAGCGTTTTACTGTAGTAATTTAGTATTATCAACTGAGTCGAAAACGTAAATTGGCCACCGTATAGCGTTTAAAGGCTGAAGTTTCGAGCGTTAGCCCATCGTCAGGGCGATTAACTGTAGTTGCTCTGCCGGTACTGTCAAGCCGGTAATGTCAAGCCCCGAACCGAATACCATCCCATGAATACCACCCGAAAGAATTTCAAAACTATGTGGTATGTAGTAATCAGCCCATCAGAACATGATCCATAGGTCAACTTACATTCGGGGATATCACGCTGCGCCTACTAAGAAGGACGTCTCTTAACACAGTAGCACATTTCTGATGGAAATAAAAATAATTGTCGTAAACAGCGCATGCATGAAATAAACTTCAAGGACACACTTTTATTAAATCATATTGAAAAACTAATACTGCTATTTTATATGGTGCTTTTCATACCTGCTGAATAAAAATCAAGGTTATTTCTTACTTCTTGATGAAAATGCTGGTCTTTGGTCGACGCTTTTTGCGGTAAGGTTGTCTCCCGATACAAAGCTAGAAGTAATACGATGTCCTTGGCCGCAGGTTGCCCTGGCACCTCATGTAATGCCTAACAATACACAGGATTGTGAGATAGTTAACTGTTTATTGTTAAAGAAAAAACACATAAAAAAAAGCGAAAGTTAAACAAAGTTTTATGCATTCCTTTTTTTTTTCCTCTTTCAGATGAAATTCCAGCGCTATCCCATTCTATCCTTAGCATCCGAACCTTTTCTTTGACTGTTCTATCCTAACCTCCTCAGCCTCTATTTCATAAGGCGATCTACTTTAGCTAAGTTCTCGGAGATCAATTCAGAGAGTATTCGCTAAGAGCTCAAAGAACATGCAAAACCAAAGCATAGGTTCATAAATACAGGCAAACTCAAAGGAATTTTAACATGGTCCATATACAATTATACCTTTAGTGACACGACAAGCTCATCTGTGTCGTCGCTCAATATTGCTCTAGCCATCGCATCTCTTACTTCCCGATACAACTCTCCATACACCAAGAACCTATCCAGATTCACCTCAGTGTCCTGTTTTGATAGGTTATAAGTAAATCCAAGAATGCTTCCTTTAGTGTGTTTCGTATTTAAAACGACAGAATTGTTATGAGAGGAAAGTAGATTGTGGCAGGTCAATATGTGGGAAAATGAAAGAATAAGGAAGGTTGCGAAGAGCATGGGCCAAGAGCATTTTGTTAAAATATAAATAAGTAGGCTTCCACTGCAAAACTGCAGGCCTCAGTAGGGCGCGGTCACGAACGAATAATGGGTATCTTGTAGAAAAGAAAACGATATAACTGGTCTGCATTTTATTCCTAAATGGATATATGATGGAGAATCTACGATATTCATGTATCTGACACATAAGGCACTAATACACTAATAAAGCACTTTACCTCTCTCCGTTGAAGTTCTACGGGTACGATCCACGCGAATTCTGGGTTTTGAGACACTGTTGAAATGGCACGTCCCCCATACAGTTTGACCAGCTGCTTGAGTAGAAAGAGACCAGGGGACCTAAAACGAACCGACGTGCACAATGCCTGAACAGTCTTGAAAAGGATTTCCATTGCTCCACGCGTGTCACCTCGGCGCCACTTTTCGTAATCGCTACCGCAACTCATATACATGAACTGCGCAGCCATACTTAGAGTGGACCGTGCTTTAGCTATCGCCTCTAGTGATTTAACCTGGATCTCATTATCACTTGTATGGTCTTTCTGTAAGATTTCTAGTGCACCTTGACAAAACATATTAACGGTATTAATGTGCATATGGAGATCGAAGCTGGCACTCATGGCTAACGTACTGTCACAGGAGTTCTGTGGGTTAAAAAAGTGGTTGGAAAAAATTAGAGGTACACCGCAAGAACTAAAAAAATTTTAATCAATGTTTTTAATATTTTAGGGAATTAATAAAAAAATCGTCTCTAAAAATTCTTAGGCTCCATAACCTAGAAGTACCAAGGTGTAGACAAGTTTCCGAAAAGAGTATCATCATCCTATTGTAACGTGCTCGTTTCATTTAAGGATAGACTTTCATGTACCTCCATACACTGCACGGCAAGTAGACAGACATTCAGGAGATGAGGTACTTCTGATGAAAGACCTTGAGCTTCGAAGAGGAAACGTTGGATGTGTGCCTTGGCTAATTTATCACTAAAGGGATATTACAGAAAACATTGTGTTATGAAAGGAACTCTCTACAAAAGAAGAATAGCGAGAACACGATTTGAACCAAAGTGAACATCAACATTTGTAAGTGACTCGAATGAATAGTTCTTTGTTCTCGTTGCCTTTAGAACATTAAACTCATGGAATGTGGCAACGATGAAAAATAGAAAATAAACATTTGGCGATAAAGGCTATTTTCTGTGATAGAATGCGCATTTAAGTTTCAACCAACCAAACTGAAAAAGGTAGTAGTAATGATGAACTACTTAATGAAATCTTCGCTAAAATTTCACCAGCTATAGAGAGCTATTTTGATCTCAAACTCGTCATGCCAATGATGTCTATAATAGCCTATGCAATCTACGGCTGCTAACTCAAAATGAACTGATCTAATTCGTTTGATTGCTACTTTTACGTGATTGGTGATTGTTAAATTGAAGAGTCTTGAAGCGTGTCGGATTGCGTTGCCGAAACAAACCAACTTCCTTAAGTTGAAACTGACTGAATACTTGTATGTTGAGAATGGGCCATATCGAAGGCCGGTTTCAAATGGAAACTGTTAATTAGAGAGGTACACACCTAGAATTGATGAGTTGCTGCAAAAGGAATGATCTCACCATAGGACTACTGTCTGCTCCAAATTCAGGGAAAGGTGAGAATTCCCTAGTTTCAGCAGCAGATTGTGTCGCTGTAACATATCCCATGAGTATTTCAAATACTTCTGGATCCAAATTTCGCACGTCGCCTCCAAAGCAAAAGACGGTAATGATCTCCATCAAGAATGCGTTGCAACATCTAAGGAACTTTGCATACACTTCAGGCTCATCACTTCGAATAAAAGCAATAGCATCAAACCTCCATTAGTAGGCTACACAGTATTAAAGGTCGAAAAACAATACGGAGTGTCCACTCATTCCCCAAAAATTCATTCCAGCAACGTGTGACGACCAAGTACAATTGTTTTAGAGAGACCCGATACTTGAAACGAAGAGAGTTTGAGATTATAAGCAAATGCAATTAACTGTCATCAAAAGGAGACAAAGCGACTTACTCTTGCAGTCGTGCTTTTAAATCCTCTTTACAGCTCATCAAAACTCGTTGCACGATAGTGAGGGACTTGGCCTTTGTGAAATCTGTTCCTTCACCTAGAGCCTATAAAACCATCCGGCTTTAGGTCATACTAAATATCTTCATAACTATTATTAAAGTGAATTGTTTTAGCAAAATTCCAGTGCTAAACAATAGACAAATCGGAAATCAACACATTATAATCAAGAAACAAAATTGAAAATTTCTTGTTTAGCACCTGGAGGTGAGCACATTTAACTATCTAGCGCCGCTATGATCGACGAAAAATCTTTGTTTGGATTCTCTTTTTTTGAACGAACCGTTCTGTAAAAGGTTAAATCAAAGTTACGATTGTAAGCTAGACGTAATTCAGTCGATAATTTCGATACTTTTACTGTTAGTAACGTTTGAAAACGAACTCGTTGCTTTTAGGTACAGCACAATTTTTTAAATTTCCTCCACGGAAACATTTGCAAACCGACAGCTGACAGCAATTTTTTTGCATTCTATTAACTAGCAAGCGCGGTATAACGTCACACAAAAGATCGCCCAACAAATAAGATTGAAGGTATCTCTTTGTTCAGGTATGAAAATATACCAAATACTTTCGTCTGCCTGACTGAACGACACCTCCTATGCGGTTCTAACTTGCTTCCAAAGGCTACCAGGCTTGCGTAAGTTTCAAATTAAATAAGATTTCAGATCTCAGAAATACATATAAAATTTTTTAATCCTCGTGAGGAAGCTCACTTGGAAACCAATGGCGCTATTACTATGAGATTTCCCCTTAATGACTGAAATGCAGTAAATATGTGGACGGTTATCGGCTGAATATGCGACTGTTACCTTCCAAAGTTCCAAAATATGCTGCACATCCGGTAAATCTATTCCACCTTGGGATGGATACATGTGTTCGATAAATATTCTCACCGCACTCAAACGTTGCCACATGGATCTAAAATCGAAGCGTAAAATAATCTCATAATATCATTAATAATAGGTGAGCAAAAATTTCAGCTTGCTCATTGGTTGAGAAGACGTCAATTTTACTCCATACAGTAGTAAAGAAAGTTGAAATTGGGTGCATAAAGTTGAAATCAAATCGATTGACAGGAGAGTCGCGAAAACACAACGAAACAAAATAGCCGACAGGTTTCGAGAAAGTAACAACGTTTCAATTCAGAACAAACACCTAACAAAACACAAAAAACTGGCTACAAGTCGGGAAGTCTTAGGCTTCCAAAACTGACTGCGACGTAGGAACCGAAAGCTCTAACAAAATTCCTTTGAAGTTTACGGAACAGTTCATACGAAAGACGGGGAGTAAATTACGAGCGTGATAGACTTCGTGCATACTATAAAGCGAATTCAGCCGGAGAAAGAGTGCAAACATTCAATTAATCCTGCCAGAAAATTCAAAGGGTCAAAGCAAATTTTTGCGGGAAAACCCCGGAGACTCCAGCAATAACACAAAGGCAAGAGGCCACACCAGTGAACCGTAAACACAACTAAGGGGAAAACATAGTCAAATGTTTGCATGTTTTTTTTCTTTAATTTTTTAAAAGACAACAAATTTGGTTAGCCCTCGCAAAATTTGCTTGTGCTGATTTATCCCAAATTGCACTAAAAATCATGTGATTACCTATACTAATAGCGTATTCCCAGTAACAGCCAACTTTGTCGGTTACAAGTTTTAGATGTGATAGTGGACTGTTTAGAAACGATATAAGCTCAATCCTTTCGTCAGTTTTTTGTGCTGACTTTGTAAAAAGGAAAATCCTTGTGAGGTTTGCAAGTTTGTTCTCAGAGAAGTGCTCTTTTGGGATACACTGGGTTTACTTCATAGGCACTTGGCTTGACATACTGACTAATCAAGCTAAAAATATCTTTTAACTTCCTCAGTCATATTGAGAGAACATGAAAATTTTACTGCAACAACAATTTGTCCTCAGAAATTTAAATCTGCATGTGATCACTTGATATTAATGGGTCATCTACGAATCATCGAACGCGACTTAAGAAAATCTTTCATAGAGGTATTTCTCATTGAAAGTCTGGGAATTTGAAAGAAACAGCACTGTCTTCCCTTTACTCAGTCACAAGTTCGGAGCGACCTCTCATGGAGAAAGTATTTATTGGATAATTTTTTTGAATTTCTATAGAGGTACGTTTACCCCTTGAAAATTATGGCTTACATGTTATTTTTAACGAACCGGCGTTAGTAGTTCCATTACTTTTTCGCGAGAAAAATTAACAATAGCATCGAAACGGTACCTGCACTGCATCAACATTGACTGAGTCCTTTCTCCAACATGTGCCTTGCCTTTGGTTCCACTTTCACCGATCATTTCGTCCACTGGTGTTTTCACTGACATAACCAAGTCACACCAAATTTTTCTCTCCAAGGAGGTCTTAAGATCCTCTCCACAAGGTTCCATACGCTCCAAGCAAATTTGTAGAGCAATAGCATCAACGGTCTTCGAAAAGAAACCAGTATTTATGAGTAGAATATTAAGTATACACTTCAACTTTCGAGAATGTTTCTTGCAGTAGAAGCAAAGTCTACAGGATTGGGAGCCTGTACAACTATTTGTGCCTTGGGACCCCGTACAACTATTTTAGACTTCGCCTAAAATAGTTTTACGGGGCTTGCACTGCCTCAAATTAATTTCGAATTGCCTGAAACAGCAGCAGACCACCTGCACACTTGTAAGAAATACGTAAGCTGAAATGCTCAAATGACCTCTCACTAATGTTCTTTTCAAGATTTGTGCTCACCATTTCGTCTTCATCCCACGAAAACCTATTTTGAAGATCGTTTAAAATTTCAGGTTTGGCTCGAAGTAAGAGCCATAGGCAGTGAATTCGCTTCTGAATACGAGAATGTCCCAAATGAACCAGCGCAAAATCCATGATAAACTTCCCATCTGCAGACTGTCGTGGGGCACAAATCTCTTTGGCAGCAGCTCTGATCGCTCTTTCAACAATCTGTTGGAGGATGAGGATAGGTCCTAAATTCCTGATTGTAGCGATATATTAAATGAACACACACACAAAAAAAAACATGACATAGCCATGTCCAAACAAATTTGGGAATACCCTAAACCTTACCCTTCGATAGAGTTTAAGCGAAGGACAAACTATTTTGTGCTGTGATTTAAAAGTATCACTATCGATTACCTCAATCTCCGCGTCATCTTTAGGTTTGTACACCATCTGTGTAAAGTCATGCAAATAACGAGCCACTGAATCTTCGCCGCCTTCTGAGGTGGCCTCAGAAACAATCCGCCTCACGCTTGAAGTGTCCAACAACCTTCGTAAGCATTCGGTAACGGTCTCATAAGAATTTGCTACGAAATGAAAAAAGGATTTGGTTATTTTTATAATACTCCAAGGTATGGGTTTCTACAAGGAACTAATTTCCGCTATTATTATACATTCAATTCACCATCTCTTTTCTGATTGTTCGAGGGCGTATAGTGAATTTTCGAAATCAGCGCCTGGGACGTCATCTTGTTGCAGATTATATATTAATCAAGTCATGTATGACTGCGGAGCATGATTTCTAAGGGTAATCATGTCAAGTTCGCGCCCTTTGTGTTGCTTATTGATTTGTATATTCTTACACGTCTAGAAATAAACCATCAGTTCCCCTTACTGCCGTGACCATTTTTTTCGTTCAATGTATAGTAAAACAATTATTAGACTCGATTTTTGCGATATCCAGAATTATCAAGGTCAAGGTAGCGGTTATCAGCTAAAGCCGAAGGCTTAGGCTGATAATCCCTGCCTCATTCAATAACTGGGACACATGCTTGAATAAAATAAAATGAGAAACAATTCGATTCTTTATTCTATGGATTAAATAAATTCTCAAACCCTTCCCTCTCCTTTAGCAAGGAAGTCTTAACCATGAAGAAATAAATTAGCTGAAAGCGTGGGATACAACACACCACACACACACACACACACACACACACACACACACGCACACACACACACACACACACACACACACACACATGCACACACACACACACACGCACACACACGCACACACACACTTCTTTCTTTTCATTTATCTCACCTGCGATATTTCTCGCCTCTCGATAGAGCTCATCAATGCGTTCTTTGAGGATCCATGAAAATGGAAACCTGCACTGGAAGACATGCCCTCGATACCCCGATTTTAATACTGGAACCTTGCTGCGGACTACATCCACATCTTCTTCACGTGTCATGAACATTCCATAATTAATAGTAGCGAAGGAACTGTCTTCAAATACGTTTAACCAGAGATTTGAAAGCCAGGGATCTTTGCTGGCAGCCAGCTCAAGGTTTCCGTCGCGATCAACATAGGCGATGACTTCTGCCAGGATAGGAGCCACAACATACTGAAAACGGCGCCAAAGTGCCTTCTTGAAAGTTCCATTTTCGTTTACAGTGCACGCTTTGGCAACGTCTTCAAGCCACCCTTTCCCCTCCTCTGGTGCCCGCTGGTCTTTCACTTTTAGTAGGTCATGAAGTCGTTTAGCAAGAATCATCTCAAAGCGGTTGTCACGTAGGTCTTCTGCAACAACATGGAATCATAACATCAATCTGAAAGGTGTTAGGGATGAGCCTACAATGAAAAACCTTACTGTACAAAAAATAAAGATGCTTTTACTTGGGATTTACATTTTGCTTCATCTAGATTTAAAAGATAACAGCAAAGAATCCGAATCTTCCTTCCGAATAGTGATTTAATATGCATCGAGTAGCACTTTTAATCCTACATAGGATAAAAGTAAAAAACCGACTTCAATCGACTTCCTCAAATGCACTCTACGTACCTCCATATGAATTTGCAGAGTCTATCACAAACGATGCTCACCGCGCAAATAATTATTTGAGGAGGTAAGAGGAGAAGACCAAATCGTTTAAATAATGGTTCAGTTGTCAACAACTCCTTGTCTAAAGACGTTAACAACTACTTTTCTAACAACTCACCAGCCTTCGTTCTGGAAGGAAGTAGTTTAAGCAGCAGTTCAATTCGTCTAGTTGCCCTTCCAAGTGTGGATTCATCATCCTCAATCTTGCTAGCTGCTATCTGCACGCAACCTGTTAAAACTTGACCAATACTCAAATAGTTTCCTGTCTTATCAATGGCACTCTCGAAAATTTCGCTGATTGAACGGTCCTTCAGTGCTTCAACCGGAGGTATTTCTTCACTTGGAGGGCACAATTCGTCAATGTGGATAGATAACCAATTTTCACCTTGCACACTGACGAAATCTCGACAGCCCCCTGCCACCCTGGGCACTTGTACAATCATTACAATGTGACTGCAATCAGTTGCATCTGGATACAACACGTCTTCCATTTCCTTACACTCTTCAATGAGCAAATGGCGAGAGCATGCTATCAAATCAAGGATTTGTTCTCCCGAGTCGCACTGAACGATTAACAGGCTTTCCCTGCCTCCCAGCGTGTACCAGAAGTCTCTCCTACGAAACATACATTAAATATTCGAATTTTAAAATGCATTGGCTATTTTAAAAAGTTTCCAATTGAAGAAATCTAGCGAAAATTGAATAACAAGTTTTACCCTATGCAGTTTAAGAATTGCTGTTCGGTTTGAAACTGTTGCAGCGAGGCACACTTCACTGAACTGGGAGGAAGCTGTGCAGCTTTTGCAATGGTAGGAATGTCTCTTTCAGAGAGGAGACGAGAGTGAGTCGATATCTGAAAAGTAATACATCGAACACTAAAAAAGTAAGAGATCATCCTTAAGGCAGATTTCGAAATCACAAGACTGCGAAAAAGAAATACACACGAACTTTGGTGTAATAAACCCTTTTGACCCTTCGGTTATTTGCGACTTTCTCTTTATATGTAATCTCCTTGAGGATTACTGTAAAAGAAAATTCAAGCAAACAAACAAACACAAAATTGTGTGGAAACATTCGCATCCCCTTGCAAAACTTCCCAACAAACATTTATATGACTCGTTAGAAGTTAGAGCGAGGTCTAGGATTCATATAGTTGCATTATAGTAGTAATATTCAGTTAGACTGCTTGTCGCTGTGGGTTATTTACAGTTATGATATATTAATTAGAAAGTCGAGCTAAAATTTCAGCTGACGAAATTAAATAACGGTAAATCTTTTAGAAGAGAGTTGCTCTTTTCACCTGGGCACGTAGTGGTACTTTAGCCCTTTCACCGTCACTAGACTTGACATCTCCGATAACTTTTTCCAAAAAGTTTGCCAGGCTTGAGTGTTCCTGTTCGCGAAAGTACGTCGTCCATATTCTCTCAGCCTCTGAACTCAGACGTGAAGAACAGAGACGGGTAACAGAGTCGGGAGTCGCACACTGAAGCAATCGCTCCTGACATGTCCTCAGCACCTAAAAAAAAAATTGTTATGTACTCCCTAAAGGTTACTGTCGACTAAATCTGGTCAAAATTTTCAAAATTTATTTTTTTCACTCTTAAGTTATAGAAGCAGATAATTTTGATTTGCTAGGAAAAAAATTGTAAAATCTTAAAAACAACGCGAGGTAAGACTGAAGAATGTTTTAGGGGAACCTTTACCGAAGAGTGAAAGGTGTCAATCGGAAAGGTATCCAGCAGAGTGTTGACGTTTGCCGTGGGCTTTCGTTCGGGATTTCACATCGCGTCTCGCACTGCACAGCCAAAGGGAATTGCTAGCACACTTCTCAAAACGTTGAAAAATGAGAGTCCGAAAAGAGAAAAGTCTGGTGAGCCCGCTTTTCCTTCTGTTTTTCACGATGAAGTTTTGGATTTCTTTCATTATAAATTCGTTTTTCCTGTTTCGTGAGAGGACCTTTCCCGCAAATTTCAATGGAGTTCTTTATGACAAGAATTGCAAGGGAGTTCGATGTTGCGAATTATTGGTGGGCGGAATGACGGCAATTACACGCTCTTAAATGAGATGCGAAAACTGTGGATTTCTTTGGAGGCCAAAAACTCGAGGTTTCTACTATCAAAGCACCAAAGTGTGTAAGGCTTTTACGAAATTCGAACTATTTTTTTCGTGACGTCCCGGAGCCGAACAACCAAAATATTATCCATTGTCCGACTTAGAAACATATTTTCTTAGGAACCAATAAGAATATCGAAAAAGCCTCACACATTTTGCTAGCCTATCATCTGCTAAATGACCGGCTCTATCTTGTTTGTTTGGAGGTCGGCGGTAACGCGGAGGATGGTAATTTAGTAAATCAAGGCTTGCACGCACTTAAAAAAAGAAAGAACTGTGAAAATTTTTACACATTATCATAATCTATGCTTTATAAGCTTTACATTGTATTTTTCCATGGCACACGTAGGACGATTTTTCCGCAAAGTACCATATTTTGTTGACAGTTACCTTAACGACGGGCCTACGTTTCATGAAATGACTTAGCTTTTGGACATCGTCAGTCTCAGTTCAACTGAATCGTCGATATTTCCAGGTGAATATCACGTAAGCACCTTCATGTAATAATTACATAAGAAATAAACACGATATTCTCTTTATACCCGTCACAATTCCTTTCTCTGGCGATGCGACTTACCTTTTCTTCCCAAGACTCTCTTTCTTCGTCTGAGGGAAATACTCCGTCGCTGTGAAGTTCAGCACAAACTTGCAAAACAACAGCTGGGACGATGTCTTCGTGATAACCAATAAAGGCATCTCCTTTAGAGAATGGTCTTCAAAAAACAAGTGGAACAATGAGGGATGTCAACTTTAGTTAATATCAGCCATATCATTGGACAGGTGGCATCAATGAATGCCTCTTTTGTCTTACCCAGCGTGGTATCGGGAACAACCAAATATTATGGGTTGCCTTTTAAGTAACAATATACTTGTGTACAGTATATTGTCCAAATATGAAATACGCATTAATCTCTACGGTGAAATTTAAGGTCCATGTATATGTCAGTTGCGGCAAGGTCGATCAGAATAGCGAGAGGTAAGGAAAAACACAGTATACATTGGAGACTAAAGCACAAAAAACCTCTTTTTTCGGTGAGGCGGCTGTAAAATATCAGCAAAGTTGTCCACCCAAACTTTTAATTTCCTGGTCACTTCTTTCTGTGGCCAGGTGAGCCCAGATGTCATAACAAGGAAGTGTTTCTCCAAGCGGTTAATCAGAGGGATGGGGAACTTGTTGTAAACCACGTCCTTTTCAGCGATGACGATTAGCCTGTTCAAAATATTGATTGAAAAAGGTTTATTATGAATTACAAGCAGTTGTAACAAATAAGCATCTTTGAAAAGTTGTCGATGAATATATAACTAGTTCTGCAGGAAAACCGTCAAATAAAGTCAGCTTTATATTACTCTTAAATTGTAGAGCTTTTAAAAGAGTAAAACCAATTAAAAGTTTCAAGTTATGTCGAAGTGGTGCCTTGCCTTTGGCAAAGTCCTTCAAAGTTGCTCAGCAGACATTTTGTAATGCGATCGGTAAAGGTTCAAGTAACAAGCTCAGTGCTTAAAGTTGCAGGTTTATAAAGTGGTGATGTCCTTCACTAATAAACCGTAAATCAAACTCTAGTCGATAATTTGCATGTCGGTAGTAGACCCCAAGAGAATCCGTTTTACCTGAAGTCTTTGTGAACGCGGCATTTGACTCGATTATTCCCAAGCCCAAGATCCACATACTTTTCTCCTCCAAAGAACACGTAATACTGAAGAGATAAAGTTGGTGTCAAATGACAAACAAAGTTAATGAAAATGAAAAAAACCGAAGATATCCCTAAAATTAACAGTGCGTTGTGCATATAGACTCCCACATCCTAATGTACAGGAATTTGTACGGTGTCAGTTTAATCGTGACTGACCTGATTTAGGGCGTCGTAGAGACTCTCATAGAGGTTTTCAAGATTGAGCAAAATCACTGTTCTGCCTGCTTCCATACACATCTTGACACGGTTGATGTTGCGGCAAACCTGTGCAAAGTATACCGACGTAATCACACCTCAACAAGGGGAAGAGGGTTATTACAGTTATTCCTTATTGTCAATCATAATGAAGACATTGGAAAAGCGCAATATTAATTGCTCTTTTAAACCAAACTGTTGTTGAGCAACTGACTATCAGCCGTATTTTTTGTTTTGTTTTTGCTTTTGTTTTTAATATGGCGCTTTCCGAAAGTTTTCATAAGAATTTCAGTGTTGCAATCTCTAAATTTTATTTGAAATCTAAAGTATATATCTTACATTCGTCTTGGGCCAATCAGTAACTGATAAATATGCAAATAATTTCTACCTGGGTGAACAACTGATCTTTTGGAAAACCACTGCCAAAGATGACATATGGATCTTCTTTATCTTTTTGCTCTAACAAGAGCTGTTTTACTCTTGGAAGGGCGGCAAAGTTTTCAGTCATGATAAGCAAATATCGTCCTTGTCTGCGAAACAGGAAAGCAAGAAAATTAACAAAAATCATGACTAGCGATTACTCATTTGTTTTCCTTGAATACATATAAGGTCACTTCTAAATGGGGCAGATTATTGAAGAAACATGGAGTAACTAATAATCACATGCATTTTCAATCATAAGAGCCTGCATCCATGCCCGTCGGAAATACTAAATAATAACAATAAATAATAAATAACAAACAATATAATAACACTGAATAATACAGACAAGTTCTTTATGTATTTCTACTTGTGAAGTGCGGTATCGAGACCTACCCCATCATGCTCTTCCGGTTCAGGCTTTCCCAGATAAGGTCTAGAGACTCATCTTTCATGAATTCCTCTTCAACCTGTAAACGAGGGGTCCATTCCAATGGTAAGGAAAACGCACGCACGATAAATTCGACTATTAAACAACTCTCACCAAAATAAATTATTCTGAAGGCTACTGGGATAAAGCTTTGGTAGAAAGTCTAAAGGTTAACACATACTCGGCGACTGGTCAAAGCATCAGGTCCTTTACTCAGGCCTGAACTTCATATCTGTTTGAACACCATAAAAATGTGATGCTACGGAGTAAAAATAATTTAGAGAGGCTACCCCTTTTGATAAAGTCTACTGTTTAAATTAACTATTCAATCAGTCTACTATGTGGAATGTAAATTGAAACCATTTTTGTACAAACACTTAAACTGCGAGATCTGTGAAACCGAACATAACCAAGAAATTATTTGAAAAGAGATCACAACGACACTTCGCATCTCATCCTTTAGTCGCATGGCGGTGCACACGAATGTGTGTAATGACCATAAAAATTATAAACACTGGACGTTATCCAAGAACACCCTCACACAACAGTTTTTGGAGACTCAATAAATGAAAAAAAAAATCTCTGCAAGGAATCGTTCGAAAATTTGTTTGAGGTACAACTTTTTAATAGTTTTAAAACGAAAGAAAAGTGTTTTTAACCTGTAGATATTCCCCTGGGAAGCCAATATTTTCCATGAGAATTTTAACAGGGTTAAAATCTCCTTCGACCTCCATCAAGCCACTGAAGTTTCTCTTAATGGCGCGTTCGAGCTCTTTCCAGTCTGGTCGACGTTTCTCTTCCTTAGCAATGGAGACGATCATCTTTACAAGACTGAGTCAAACACAAGAAAAGAAAACTTACCGTAAATTTCTTAATAAATTGATCAATGAAACAGCTGCAATCAACGCAAACCTGTAGAAATCTCGAAGTCCAAAAAATTCGTCCTTTTTTCCTTCTTTTAGTTTCTCCAATCTTTTCTGTCTGTCGTAGAGCTCTTTGTAGCCACAGACCAACGGATTTATGAGGGGTTCTACATGAGTAATAATGTCCTCATCACTTCCACAAATGCCCCTACAATGAGCAATAGATAAATAAAATCATCGGTGATGAACCTGAAAAGGATATCATTGTGACTGGAGTTGTATCTTGTAAATCCTGATGTGTTGGTTTGAAAGCGGAGACGAGAATGGATGTTCTCTCTTTCGCTGTTAACTAATATAAACGTCCCTCAATTGCCTAGCCTAGGGATAAAAAGGGCCAATAGATATTACCTTCTCCTTCTCTTTCGCCTTTCATTTCCCCAAGATGTCTTCGCCTGAGCTCTCCCATCAGTCGAATTAACTTACTTTTACCTTTTTACCTGGGTCACGACTCGCACATGACCACTATGAATCGAGAAAGTGGTGAAAAGGACGGGACGTTGGCAATCATTGCCGTTGAGTTTCATACAAACTCACAGCGAGTCATGACCCCTTTATTGTCATCTGCGGTGATTGGCTTCCCGTGATAAGTTGTCTTCTTTTCGCTTCGCCTTGAAAACTATGCTTTCTTTTTGAATTCTTATACCAAGACGATCACATACAATATTAACAGCTCTACCTTGCAGTTTCTTCCAGTTCGTCTTCGTCAGGCTCATTACGGCAAAGCATTATCCCGCGGTTCATTTTGGCAGGGTCCAATGCCCAGTTCGACAAACCAATGAAAGCGACGCGTGTAAAACTCTTTTCAGTCTGGATCACAAACCCGTCGTTTTGGTCATCATCTTCCAGGAGGGGATGTAAAGTTTTTAAGGGCATTTTGGGTGAGTCCTCCGCCAGTCCTACCTCATCTAACACTACCACAGAAGCAAACGTGTCTAAAGTCTTTCCCTTGTTTTTACTTTCTTGCAGTTCACTGCATTGCTGAAATGTCGCCAATATTCCCTCAGGGGTAGACTGTGGGCTACACTGATATGATACCAACTGAATCTGTTAAAAATGTTAAGAGACACTTACTCTGCGCCCTATGCCCAGACAACTAAGTTGAGCCTTAATTACTTACTAAGTTGAGAAATGATTAGATTATGAAGTAAAATAGCTTTTGAAATGCATTTTCTCAAGGTATGTTTCAAGGCTCTTCTTTGACTAAACGTTGCTTTGGTATAACCACGTCCATAAAGTAGGAGAAGAGAGGTAATTTTTTGCCCCTTCAGATTTTGATATTCCTTTGTGCAGTTTCTATAAAGATGTAGACAAGATAATACTAAAAAAGAAAAACCATTATGGATCAATTTTCAAATGGATTCAACATAGGTGGAACCTTGGTAAAACTGAATCCAGTCTTAAGGGGGTTAAGTGCTGGACAGCCTTACTTGCTTCGATCATACCTGCTTAAAATGTTTGAAAAGGTTATGTTTGGATCTTCCTCCATGCATATTGTCTGCAACAACTGCTTTGGCCAGTGATTTAGAGCTCCCCGGCTTACCGACGACAAATAACGGGATCCTCAGCTCAATACACACCACCATCATAAACACATTTTCTCTCAAGGCCTCATTGCAGGCAATGTTTGGTCCAAGTTCCAGCTGTCCCATCAAAGCTTCTTGACATCTTTAAAAAGAGTTGCAGACACCATTTAACTTTTATTACGACTACACTGATATGACTATTTCGATAGACGTTGACTCACGATAAATGAAAAAGCAAATGATAAGCTGTGGTCAAATTATATACTTCCCGTCATTACAGGTGTTCTCGAAAGTCTAGTTTTTCAGCAAGCTGGCCAGATAAATAAAAGCTTTTTTCACAGGCTTTCTAGGTCAAGAGACCCCTAAAGTCTCAATGATTTGTGGGCAACTCCGGGTTAATTGTCCATTTGGCACAGACACAAGCACAAGCTGCAAATGTATATTTCTAATAAATTCTCTTAGGTTAAAATTGAAAGAAGTTTTGGAAACTGATGCTTCCCCTTTCATCCAGCAGTTTTTTTTTAGAGTAAACGACATCATTTGCATAATATCGTCAACGAGTCAATATTACCGACATATTTCCCGTTCAATTCTTTCAGCGCCGCCAGGAAGCCTGCATGGTGGTCGGAATGAGTTTGCTACTGCCTCGCGGTATTCTTCCCTCTCTGTTAACCGTGCTTGATAACAAACTCCAAGAGCAAGAATCAAAGACCAAGTGATCGGGTCAATACTGTCGTCAATATCAACCTGACAACAATCAATACCAGAATAAAGTTTCCTTCTAAACTATAGCCTTACTTCGGTAGGTCTCGCTACAATCAGTCACAACTTTTCTTTATTTTATCGGACCATCATAAATTTTTTTACAGTAAACAATTTTGCAACAATGAGTGGATGGAAGGGTGTAATACGTGGGGCTGTGATGAACGTTAACCTTGAGAATCGTAAGGCCGCAAAATTAGTAAGCGAAAAACCAAGTGTTATCTGTTTTCCATTGCAGGGTTGATACCAAGAAAAACGTAAGGCATCAGAAAAATTGCAAACATAGCACTAACCGGAGACATGCGCAATTGCTAATCAAAAGAGTTTTTACCATTGGTATCTATATGCTACAGAATAGTCTTGGATAACGTAAAAACAATTCTTACGTTTTCTTCCTCGAGCGATTCATCTAAGGATTCTACATGGTGGAACATTTCCAGAGGATTGACTCTTGAAGACAGTTGCAGAGGCTCTTGCGTGGGCCTGCACTCTGCAGAAACTGTTTCCTTGGAAGCAAGAGAGAAGTCCGGCTCACACATAGACTCACTAACGGCGGGTTGCTTCTCTCTTTTCTTTGTGTCTGCATAGTCGAATATTTGTGTAGGCTTGCACTCTACAGATGCTGTTTCCTTGGAAGAAAAAGGGATGTTTCGCTCCCACATAGACTTGCTAACGGTGGATCGCTTTTCTCTTTCCTTTGTGTCTGCATAGTCGAATATTTGCGTTGGCTTGCACCCTGCAGATGCTGTTTCCTTGCAAGCAAAAGGGAAGTTTCGCCCACAAACGGTCGCGCTAACGGTAGGTCGCTCTTCTCTTTTTCCTGTGGAATTAACTTCTATGAAAGGGCAAACCATGCTCAGGCGATCTCGGAGACTCCGACAGTCGTTATGATTTGTTGCTGTAGTTTTTTCCTGATCGCATTGGTCGTCCTCAGAATCAGAGAGAGTTTCTTTGACATCAGTTGAATCTTCTCCAGAGTCAGAGTCACTCTCATTCTCGCTCTCTTCTTCATTTTTACGTCGCTCCTCTTCCATCAAACCAGAAAAATCTTGAAAGTGTTGGTAAAACCAGATCATGACCTCCATGGCTCGTTTAACATCACGTAAGCTCACAAATCTGCACTCATCCTATAGGAAAATGGAGTCATTGTGTAAAATTATTACGCTATGACTAAACTCTTTCAGTACATACCACACAAGGCGAACTGGTGACTTACTCAACAACCAGGGGAAGACTTTTTTGCAAAAGCGCGAAATGTAATAGTTATACTTGATTGCATTTGCTAAAAGTTTATAGGAAGCTAATAGGGCCAAAAACTGTAACAGATAAATTGACAAAGCACCTTTTTGTTTCTCATGAATTGTTGGGAGGCTGTTAAAACTGCTGCTATGGCAATAACCCGGTTTTCATCTTCCTGAAGACGACCTTCACGTACCTTTAAAGAAATGTAAGTATTCTTTAATCGAAAATAAGCATTATTCAAAATTAAAATTTGAGGAGGAGTTGTGAAACTATCAAGATTTCGACACGCTACTTGCAAGATTAAAAAGAAAGAAAGTGTTAAAAAAGTTGCCTCACAATGTATCTTGAACTGTTTAGCCAAAACATTTCGAACTCGTAATTTGCAAAATTTGCTATTCTCCGCTTTCCGCAACGGTATTTGTAACTTCTTTTTGATTCTTACCTCTACCGACGTTTTGCCTCACCCTACCAAGATATTGTCTTTGGGGTTTTCAGTCTTTTCCTCGCGGTAATTTTCATGGATACTAAACATTATCTAATTTGATGTGATGTGGCTCATTTAAACTTCAGAAACGAATTGTATAGAAGGGGGAACACTAGTTATTCTCCCTTTTCAAACGTGTTAGAATACATCGCCTTTTTAAACCACAAGTACATCTACTCACAAATCTTCTAACAATTTGACGAGTGTAAAGTTCTTCCACTTCGGCATTCAACTGTCCAAAATCCCACACAAGACTGCGCATGCTTTCTGGCAAAGCATGCACTCGATACACAAGGTGACGCAATGGGATTCCACCTATATAATTGCACAATAAAAGTAAAATCAACTAAAATAAATTAATGATTCCAACTCAATATCGCTTGATGAAAAATCTTACCAAGGCTCTCTGTAGTTTCATCCGCTTTTATGTGATAGCCCAATCCTGCGGTCTCTAGTTTATGTATCATTTCTTTCGTATGCCTGCCGAGAATATTTCTTAGTTAGGCTTTGCTGTGGTTTAATGATGCAATCATCAACAAAACTACGCATTTCGTCAAGTTTTCCTGAAAATTTTCCATTACTCATTTATAATTCTACTTTTAAAATTACCGATTTCATAGAGTTAGCGCTGAACTTACTTCCGATATGGATTGCAAGCCACAACGAATTTCAAATTGTCACTCAGGGGACGACCATTACACCTTCGATCCACCATAATCTCTTTTATCATTCCCAAAGCGTCAGTGGTGTTTGCCTCATCAAAAAACAAAACAGTGTCGATTTTTTTTCCGAGACGTTCATTCTTGACAGCCACTGTCTCAGCATGAAGTACGTTCCTTTCTATGTCTTTGTAAGTGGTGCCGCCATGGACCTAGTGAAAAAAAGGCATCAAGTCTCGCGAACTTAACCTTTTCCGCTTTAAATGACATAGAGAAAGAGAGGTACAAGCTGAGACACCGAACCCTTCATACTGGTCTTTCTCCTGAGGCTATACCGCTTAAGTGTTGTTATATACATTTTCATAGCGTGCTAGTTGGGTAGTTCAAGGATGAAGAACGAATGGACGCACAAAGACAAAGACCCTTTGATTCGGGTACATTAAACATAAGACGGAAAATTGCTCATGTTCTATTTGGTCTGGAGAACTTTCCTTTTTGTACGATAAACAATTTGTGGTGAAATTAATATCCTTACGAGGGACCGTAAACAATAGCAATAACAACATACAGCTACGAAAAATAACATATGCGAAGCTTCAATGACATGACTTGCATTGAGCTTCAATTTCTCTTTTGGGACAGCTGTACTCTGGGGACATTCTATTACCAACATCAAGGTACACGCATTTTGGTTCCGACCAAAAAAATTCCCTTATAACCTTTTAATAGGTATATATCGCCTTCACTGATGGAACAACTCTATTCAACTTCTTTTCTAGTACTGGAAGTTTCCTCAAAACGGAGATTCAACTTTTTTATTTTTGGTTTCATGTTACCAAGCTGCGCAGTTGAATTATGTAAACTTATAACAGTTGGTCATTGACAGCATTTCACTACAAAACAGGAAATAGATTCTATAGTTACACCTTCATTAAGAGCATGTTTCTACGTTCCTCCACCTCTCCCTCGGTCTGCAGTCCGCACAAATACCGAATAAGTCTTGTCTTTCCACATCCTGTTTCACCCATGATTACAACTGGGATGTTGCATCTGAATCTCATGTGGATGGCTAGAATTTTCTTCACATTATCACCCGTCAATTCGTATGACTCATCCGGGTCATAACCGCACTCGATCGCCATGACAGAACACAACAATTGAATTTTGTCAACCCTGTTGTAAGAACAATTACAAAACTCTACTAAAACTGAATTTGCACTGATAGGATCACTCACTTCCCATAAGAATTATTTTGGGAAGGCCGTTCATCTCGTCACCTGGCATTTGTAGCAAGTGAAAAATTTCGAGAACAAATTTAAGCTCTACTGTTATATAGGTTCAACGCCACCAAAATGGAATCGTACGTTGAAAGTGCCTGACTTTGAGCAATAAAACCTAGTGGAAAACTTAAAGATGATTTAACAAAATGGGGTCAACGAGGAAAACTGTAAAGGTATACGGAAAATTCTAGCGTGCAATTCAGCGAGTTTCAGAGAAAAAAGTTATTGTCGACCTTTTTGAATTTCCGATGTATGCAGCGAAAATGTTTCCTTGACAAGTGCATTCGTTACAGAAAATTGTCTACACGTTTTACAAGTAGGAAATGCGAACTGCTGATAGCTTAAAAATTAGCTTGCAGTCCATTGAAATAACTTGCATGCAAAGCCACCATATAATGTTCATGAATACCTACTTCGAATAAGACTCAAAGTTGTTGTCCAAATCCACTTTCTGCACATGAAGTCCTGTTCTAAGGGGTCTTGACATGATATTCCGCTTAATGATTTCTTTGGTCTTGGGATCTAGAAGATTTCCATTTTGATCAACTTGGAATCCCAGGAAAGTCATGGTCGCATGATCCGGGTTAAAAAAGATGTATGGATGAGGGCTAAGTTCAGAAAGGAATAGCAAGAAATATAAGGATAAACATTTTTATCAAAGTGCTCGATCTGCAACATAATGAGGTAATCTGTAACACAAATTGAGAATTCTGTAGCACAAATGAGGTAATCCATAGATAAAAAAGTCAGTTACCTGGTTTCCCATCGCCTTCGTAGCTGGAAAGGAACAATTTCTTGTTCATCGTATGATTTAGCTGTTTCCTCAAGGGAGTCCTTAAATACATGGCCTTCTTTGTCTGTTAATGATCGCATTGCAAAATCCTGATACAGAGCGACTTAGTGTAAGCAGAACTCAATGATGTTTGTTAAAACATGTATACACGATTCTACAATGGTTGCCGCTCATATCTGCCTCTTGAATACTTTTCTTACCTCAGACATAATTATCATAAATTTGACCACAAAAGTCTTCAATCCTTGTAAGGTGTCCGCTGTTAGCGATGGGTCACAGAAAGCACTTTCCTCGCAATCACTAAGCTGGTTGTTCAAAAAGTTCACAAAATTACGAAGTTCTGACCAGGTTGGGTTCGGTACTCCACAATTCCTAACAAAAGCAAAAAAGCTATGAGTATTCCAAAGACGAAACAGCTAAAACTTTCGACGAGTCATTACACATAGTTGTTGAACGTTTCCTTAAACACTGAACTTTAGAGATGAGCGTTGGAAACATCGTTCGGAACTGTTACCACGTGTTTGAATGATCACCTTTCTCTAAGACAAATGATGTAACTCGCACAAACAAAGTTGCAAACCTTATCAGCGTTTCAAGACATTTCGTTGGGTCCTTAAGTTTCCTTTGAGGGTTAAAGCGAAAGTCCTGGATGACCTCGGGGTTCGTTTCAAATAGGTGAAGATACCACCAGACACGCTGAACTGCGTCGCTCAGCAATTCTTCTTCATCAAACGACGGCCGGCTAATCTCTCCTTGCCCTGGCAAAAATATAGGTATAACTAAGTTTTGCAAGTGTCATTAAAATTACTCTGCATTTATTGGGCAGACTAAAGCTCGAAAAATTACTGTAAATACCACGTTAACTATTTAAAACTACAACATATAACGTAGCAAGCAAAGGGAAAGGATGAAAATTCCCAACTATATTTTTATTCCGGGTAAACTCAAATCTGTAAATGATATCAATCAACTTCCAGTTCGCACTCCTCCTAATGCGTTATAAATGGTACACTGACATAAATTTGTATAAACAACTTTGAATCTTTTGGTCAATCAATAATTTTAACCTACTCAGGCCTCTCCTTAAGGAAGGAAGAGTGTTTTCCGGAAGACAACACTTGACTGTTGGGAGAAGTTCATGGAACCTACATGCCTCCGTTGACTCTGTTGACTTCTGTTTAATGAGATACAAAGGTAAAAGAAATCTGCAAGTTGATATCTTTTTTTTTATAACAAGGAAAATTTTGAAATTACCCGAGGCCGGGGACTCATGAGGTGATTTTTAAAGTCGAACAAAGCGGTTTGTCTATGTTTCCGGGCTTGAGCGTTCGTATAAGTCCACGTACTGCGTCAACAACTTAAAAATACCTAACAAAAAATGTTACCATAGAGGCGAAGTTAGTAATTTCCAGGATATACAAGTCGTAGTAGTTCCTCCTCCAAACGCGCCCACAATCATCTGTTAGTTCACCCAAGATCAGCAAATTAAAGAGCAGTGTTTCCAATTCTGGCGTGACCTGTCGAGAAAGGTCAAAAGAGTTAAATCAATTAACGTAAGAGGCCATTATCGATATCATTATTCAACTTCCATGTGATTTCCTTTGTTTTATTCCCCCAAGCTTCTGAGCCAAGATCGAATTTTGATGTATCGAAAATAGCCTATTACATTAAGCAAACAAATTCTGAGAAATAGTTGGTCTAAGTGACGTAGCTTCTCGAATAGAAGCATTGATTTCGGTAATCAACATAAGGTTCAATCGATTAATTCGCAAATGAATAATGAGTTGAGAAGATACGTTTAAGTGAAAAACGCACCGCAGAGGAACGGTCGAGGTGGAAAATCCTGGACAAAGGTAGATCTGAAGGGAGAGCATGGGGCAGAAAGAAACCAACAACATCGGCGATCTGTGCATGTTTGTCGTGGAAAGGAATTGTGACACGCAGAAGAGGTGGTTCTTCATTCTCCTCTTCCATTGTCTTGACAACAAGCCGGTTGTTTGGAAGGGCCGCCACCTCTTCTGCCAACCTCAGCACATCCAAACTTTTTCCTACTCCAGAGTGGTCAGAAGATACTACTCGAACATTAAAGCTTTAAAAAAAACAGCAAAGAAATATGTATCCTTCAGTTAGGGAGCAAGGGACTTTGTTTGCCTCAGAGAAAGAAAAGGGTCGGTAGCTCATAGGATTTAACAAATAAAATAACATACAAATCCATTTTTCCACATTGCTTATCTCACTTCTACTGCCATCAGAAATAAATTAAACTTAAAAGTACTGAAACACATTGCGTCAGATCATGCTTCAGTGATACAGTGCAGATGAAAACGACTATATACTTTAAATAAGAGTTAGATTATCTAGAGTGTCTCCCTTAAGATATCATCAGTCTCGTAACCTGCAATTTTTTGCACAATCTGGAAAACAACCTTATCGCCTCTAAATATTATGCATTTTTTGAAACGAAACACGAACATGCTTTTCGTCTCTCATTCTCATCGAGTTACTGTATGTCTATCTTTTACATTTCTCAAACTATCAACTGCGAATGATGATGCTAAAACCTGGGAGGGATGAAACGTCTCTGGTCAAAAAGGTTGTTACAATAATAAAATTTAAGTTTCCCGTTATTTGAACCTACTTCGCCGCTCGACTAACTTTTGCAGCTGGATTCCAAATAACGTGCTTCTCATGATACTCGCCAGGGATCTGCTCTGGCGCTCTAAACTGTTTTTCGAGGTAGCGGCGGAGCTCGTTTAGTCGAGGATATCTTGGCATTAATACTTTGTACTGCTCCAAACAGGCTATAATATGAGCTCGCTCTTCGTTTTCGCTACTGCATAGAACAACAAGGGCCAATTCTGAAGATATGGAGAGGGAAATTAACAAAATATTAGGGTAGGTAAATCAGTGGACTCAAACTTTGGTTTGATTGTTTACATTTTCTTTTCAGGAGCCTCTGTTAGTTTATCAAGGCAAAGGAAAAAGAAACTGAAACGGGAGCTTTACATAGAAAACGAAAATCTTAATCGGTATAGCTTTTATGTAAACATATTTATACATCTCTTAGAAAAGACGAAAACACCCAGCCGAGACGCAAATTGTCAAACAGTACTTACTTTCATTCTGGGGATATTCTTGCATCAGTGTGTGTAAACAGTCCACCACCTTTTGGCTGACTTCATAGTCTAACAGATCGCCATTCACCAGACAATGCAATTTGTTTCCATCGCCTACCAGGGCTCGACGCCATAACAGCTCCACCTAGACAATAGTTGACCATTATAAATGCGTATGTCATTTTAATTACCAAAACTTTTCTTAGAGCGCAGTAGGTCCTGTTACACAGATTACACGAATAATCGAAAGAAACTGCTAAAAGAAATTTAAGTATACATGTAGCTTGGTCAGTGGCTTTTCCGCTCGCGCAACGCTAAAATAATTATAATGAATTTTCACTTTACAAGCACTACCACTAGCGTATCTAAAGAGCGTCCGAACCTCCTCGGATGTCGTTCCGGTGGTGCACACAAGAACTTCGTCACTGTTTGGCAAACTCTGAACTCTGTCGTCCTTATAAAGGTTTAGAACAGCAGCAAATATTTGTTCTGCAATTAGTAAACATGTAAATAATAAATGACTGAGGTGGCCAGGATTGATAAAATGAAGAGATAATGATGGGGAGACAGACTAGTAACGAATTCATTCAGGTGGCTAACTTTCTTGAAAAAGTCGCAACACTTTTACTGTGATTTGAATCAGATAGGTGGATATCTAGTTTCGTGACTTTCAGTGCACGTAATAAGACAAATCAAATTTCTCCTTCCTTTCCAGTCATGCAGACAAATGAAATTCGTTTAAGAGAACTAGAATGTGCCTAGCTATATGCATGCAAACAGAGAAAAGTTATTATATCAAGAAACAAGCTAATCGAGCATCTTCTAGAAAGTGACTTACCCTTTGTTACGAGCACGAGGTTCGGCTCTCCTAATCTCAGGTAACTTGGGAAAGCTCTTCTTTCAGGACTCCCTTCAATAATGAAGAGGAGTCGTTTATGCAATGGTTGCTTGATATTTTCTTGAAATAAAAATCATGGCTTATAAGCCATATTCCTGCTATGATTTGATTGAAGGCTGGATATCACATTTTACGATGGTAAGAAGCTAAGATAAAAATGACGTTCTCACTAAACTATTCCAAAAAATCGCTGTAAGTGTGTTTATCAATTGCTGAAGTAATCCTATATAAAGTTATTTGAAACCCGAATTGAACTTATCCTTTGTCAAACAATACCATCTCATCCATCATCATCACGGGGAGAAAGACAAAATTCGATTGAAGGCAACATGATATATGACCAATAAATCATAGTGTTAAAATACCTTTTTTAGCTGCCAAGTAAGACAGAAATACGCCTATTTCTTCTAGACCTAAAATGGTGCCCCCTTTTGTTTCGTCCAGGTTTGGCTCGTCAGGTAAGCTCAACTCATCATCACTGCCTTCTCGTACACTGCCACATCAACAAAAACGACAAGTGCTTTAATAGATGCAAATTAAGATGAAGGAATACTTGAAACTTAAGTCACAAAAAGCTGCACCGAAAAAAATAATTCCAATACCTTCATTTCATCTTTTCGGTTGTAAATTGTACACAAATCTTAAGTGTGTGTTATTATTTTTTTCCTACATCTTTATCGGGAAAAATTACATCGACACTTCACAACAGAATATAGATCATTCTCATGCACCTCTTTAAAACATTTAGATGTTCCTGCATTGACCGATGGGATACAGAAGACAGAAGTAACGCTACTTAAATTCTCGCTGTAAAAATCAGCCACGCCAGCCAAATAATATCTAATGGTTTCCCTCAGGTTGGGGAAATTTTGCATGACGCAGAAAACTACCCAAACCATCATGATGAACATATGTTACTATTTGCCAGTAGTTCGGATAATCAAAATAATTAGCAATATATAGTCGGTGTTTATTTCATCATTAGGTGTAGTAAGTCACCTCATCTGATCACAATCAGAACTCTGGGATAATTGCATCCACTCTACATCTGACTCAATCTTCTGATCTACGATCTTACGGAATCTGGGGTCTCCTGAAGCTCTCTCAAAGAGTTCGTCCACAAGGTCGCTGTCTCCCATGTTTTGCAAACACCACAAAACAAGATCAGCTTCCTTACTTTCCCAATTGTTAACAAGAGCTGCTACGGCTAGACGTTCAGGTTCTGAGTGACTTAACCTCTCCACATTTCCAAGAAGGCTCTCGTATTTCTCGATAATCTGCACTTCATCTATGGAGTTGTCTTTTCCGTCTTGACTTAATAGAGAAGCGATTTGAGTTGTATCCCCCAGAGTGTCTCCATCACTGAATTGACCAAAATCTGGCGACAAGATTCCCGCATCCTGAAAAACCTCTTGTAATAACGATTTGTGGATGCCTGGAAACACCTTTTCAAGAAGACTGTAAACTTGAAGCCGATTTAGATATTCCGTGGTAGAACTGTATTTCAAACCCGCGAGTTCCTTGCGCAAGAAAAGAAGCTGTTGTATAGTGAAAAAGTTTAATTCGTGGTACTTCTTTCTTAATGAATTAATGTGTTTTTTACATTCTTTGTAACGGTGATCGAATTCTTTGCTCTTCGACTGAATATCAGCTAGGACCCTCTTCCCCATAACGCTTTTGCATTTATATTCTCCTTTCCAGTCGAGATGAGACACGTCACCGATTTCACAGAGACTCACATAAGCCTGGGCAAGTTGAACAGCGCCTTGTAACAACTAAAAAGAAATAATTTTATTGAAAATATGCTATTTTGTGGGTTTTTTTTTCAAGAATGATAAATAAAATTGTACTACAATTTGTTTTAAATAGAGGTTTAACTATATGTTGTGTTAAACGTTTATCGGAACTTCTACATCACTTTTTTGGCTTTCCACTCTCACTTTTAAGATTTTTTGACATTTAAGGAGTCGATGTGAAGCAGTGGTTGACAGTATTCATAACATCAAATTTGTTCTGACAAAATTACATAAAATTAAACTAATAAATAAGGCAGCAGCAACATGACGAAAATCAACTGAAAACTAGACTGAAAAATGCGCCAATCCATCAACTTACCGAGACTTAAGAGAGGCGATAAAAAGGACTCGGAAGAGAAGCAAGGTTAAATATTAGGGATATCATCAAAGAGGAAAGCACAACTAAAACTGATAAATGAACCCAAGTTATAGATGTTGTTATAGTCTTATCAATGTCTTCCTTACCAAGGTTTAGTACGATCCTGAAAGGGTAACGTTCAACATATCAAACTGCGCTCGTATACTTTTCCTGAAGCTACACCGATATCTCACCTCTCCAAAATTTCGTATGTCCTCCTGACCCTGTGAATCCTTTCCTGAGATGAGAGCCAGTTTACTTTGCAGTTCCTGAAGTTTCTCCAGATTGAATTCTCTTGCCTGACCAATACTCTTGTCTGGTGGTAGCAGTAGGCTAATAACAGAGTGAAAGTTTTTCTTGTCGTAGAGCTGAGTAGATGCTCCGTTGTCCAACTTCCCTATAGAGTAGACTCCTCTTGCATTTATAGCTTGGGCTAATTTGAGAGACGACATGGCATGCTCATCCTTGATTCCCTTAAGCCACTGAAGATGATCACTGATATCTTTCTACAAGAACAGGAAGCGAACACTATCTCTTTAACAAATCAAAGTAAGGAACTTTACACCATTTTACCCTCTCGCTCCTTTTCAAGTTTACCAAATCATTCCACATAGCAATAAGAAAATATTCGTCGTAAAAACCCCTGCAACACGCCAGCAAACAAAAAAGCATCCTTGCAAATATATATATGTTTGTTTTGCTTCTCTCTCCTTCAAGGCGCTCAGAATAATTGTAATTAACATCTACTTGTATTAATTCAAGACGGTCCATTACAAGAGGAAGATCACACCTATGAGTTTTAATAAATTAATTGAGTCGTCAATTATGAAAGTCACCAACTTCATTTTGAAACATAAAAACTACACACCACTCGACGGCTTAATTAATTTGGTTTTGCCTTGGTTCAAATATCTTATGGATTCTATTTTTTTAGATTATGTGAGTATCGTATGAAGAATAGAAAATGAAAATAAAATTGCTTGAAAATCTTTCCCCAAAGAAAGTTCCAACTGCAACAGTTACGAGAGAATTGCACAAAATGATTGTTAAAAGTATAACTTGTGGTAACTTCTGTAAATATGGAGAAGAAGTTTTAACTCGATAGGTGCAGATTCGGGCCAGTCCCACGTGACCGGCTGAATAATTAAAGTCACTCGCTGAAACGCAATCATGGTGAAACATTTATTTGATTTCGAAATTGCATCAATATGGGATACCTGCTGGAAACCAGGTGTTAGCCTATGGAGGGGAGACATTTTGATGTTTCGAATCGCGTACAAAGTAAAATTACGTAAAATCCTTCAGACAACCTGAATGACTTGTTCTAAAGAACTTAACTTTGCAAATGAACTTTTAAGGGATTGAGTCATCATGCAAATATCTAACCAGTTTCATTGGCAAGGTTTCGTTCCTTTCCACCTCTTCCCAGACACCTGTACATATCTTCATCAATTGCGCGAAGTCAGCATGTTTGTTCGCCAGGTCAAATATGAAAGGTGCGAATCCAAGGGCAGTGGTGTGCAGACAGGAGACACGATCAGTTTGGATGTCACTTTCATCAGCGGACATCATCGCCAGATCTACCAGTGTTTTCACTTCCTCTCGACCTGAAGATAAATTACAAAGTCAAAGTTTAAACTGTGAGTTTTTAAAAGTTACTGAGTAACATGTCATATCAGGATACTGCATTCTCCTTAAGTTGCGTGCGTAGGTTCTTAAGTCAGTCGTTACCTTTGTCTACCTCCTCTCTTCAATAGGTGTTTTGGCAGTTGGTTGCTAGTCGATGAGTTAGTAAATAAGTCCTAACTTTTCTCCAATTATCGGCCTCTTGTAAGTTACTTAAATGTCAAGAAGTAGTTCGAGATACCTTTCACTTCTTCCCGAAGCCATAATATGAATTCCTTGCATTCAATGACAGTCCTCAAGCATTGAATCATTGGTCTCGAAACACTTTTAAGTGCTCCTGCGATTTGGAAAATCTCATCACTGATGGTACCGAGTAGACGTGTCTGAAATTCTTCATTCATCTTAAAAAAACAAGCGCAGATGGCCGTTAAGTGCTATACACCATAGCGACTATGGCAAATTAGATCACAGTTTTGCAGTCAACAATCATCTACTGCAGGTGTGAGTCGCTGCAGTGGTTAAATACATTATTTCTCCTTATAAAACAAAGAAGACTTCCTCTCTAGATATAGATTTTTTTATAAATTCATTTAAAAAATGTACCTGATCACGAAAATCATCCAGCAATTGGAAGTCTCCCTGAAGTTCCATTGCTTCTTTGAAATCTAAAATTGTGGCTGCAGTATCCTCGCACTCTTTCAACTTATGGCATTGTTTAATTTGATCAACACGGCCAAGAAGAACGGTGTCAATGTCGTCTACTTCGGAAAATTTGATCACTACTGCCTTAATTTCCCTGTCTAAAGCCTCGGGATCATCATTGAACCTGTGGAATTTCTCATCCACTTCTTTAAGACTTATTTCACCGTTAACGATTCTTTCCCATAGGCCTCGCCATTTTCGATAAGAAGGCAGCCAAAGACGCTCTTGTACTTTGTCTATCGTCAAAGTCCTGTCAAACCCAGGCTCATCTTTATAAAAATCGGCGGTCCTCTGACCACACATTCGCCAAAAGTCGCGGAAAAGAAGACTATGGTGAATATCATGCAAAGATTGCATCATTTTCTTGTTCGTTATCGTAAGATCAAAGAACTTTACCACAGGTTCATCTCCATGTCCACGTTTATGGCAAATTTCAAGTATTTGACGAGAGGGCAGGACCATTTCCAGTTTCTTCTTGATATTTTGTAGGTCAATATCCACTAAAAAGAGAAATTTTGCAATCAACAGTTGATTTCAGAGACATGAAGTGAAATGGGCGGCCTACTATTCAATTTTTCTTGGTAGTACAGTAAATGGTTTGAGCCCGGGGGTAACATGTCATAGTGTACTTTGATCGTCCGAGTGAGTGTAGTCTTGAGAAGTAATGTTGTCAGCTGCTGAAAAAAACTATTCAATTTTCTCTGATGATGACTTTCGCTCGTGAAACACTGTGGGGGTTGTCGAACCTGACATCAGTCATTCTCAGGAATACACTCACCCGAATGACCAAACTACACTATTAAACATCTTCTTGTTAGATAAAAAACTTTGAATAAAATGCATATGGGAGCAATTAAGATAGACTGAACTCAAACACAGATTCATCTCTCGCGAAGTTTTATCATGGAAAATAAACGACACTTGTGTTCAGAACTTGAGCTCTCTGTGTTCATTTTTCTGCAGCATCAAAATTCTGCATCACACTGGTGGTGTTTGCAAAACATACAAGCTTCATAGTGGCTGGGGAGGTTTCACAGTGAATAGGCCTGTGAGGAAGAAAGAATATTTCAATAATATACCTGATTTGATAAGAGAACACATGTGAATGAAAGTAGAAACAGTGTCTCTTTCCTTCTCAAAGGCTTCGAGCTCCTCAGCGCGCATTTCAAGAAGGACCTCCACACCCACTGTTTCTCTCTGGTTCCCGCTAGCCTTACTGCCAGCCACAACTTCTTCCTCTAGAGATATGTTCTCTGGAGCTTTAGGTAGCAAAGAGTACAACTCAAAAAATCTGTCTCGGTCTTTATTGACAATTCGTAGTGTGCTCACTTTAATTTCACCACTTCTCAGGCAAAGTGCTACGTGTTCGACAAGCGAGGTCGCAAAAACACGAAGTTCCAAACCGCCATCGGATAAGCAAGCATTTCCAACACTTTCAGCATCTGGGAGGATACATCAATGTTAAATATTTGTCTTGGCAAGTTTTGTAAGGTTAGTCTCTGAAAATATTCTAACTCGTTCAGTAGAACTGAATACTCTAGCCCGTTTAACAGATGTATTAGCTATAGAATGAAGTGAAAACATCGATCATTAATTTTAAGCTTATCAGCAGAAAGCTACGGCAACGCACATTGCTTATATATATAAGTCAAATAATACTACTATACGTACCAAAATGTTTAAAATATTGTGCCATTGGCTTCCATGTAAGAATGTGTCCCAACACTTTATCTTGAGAAAGCTCTTTTTCGTTACTGTCAATGGGCCAGCAGGTCTCCAATAGAAGGGAAAAGAGTTCTACAACTTCAGCAGACTGCATCTTGGACGTTTTAAGATCTGAACTCAAGTCTTCCATTTGGTTCTCCAGTGTTCCGTTCTGAAACAAAGTTTAAGTAAGACGTATTTACTCCGAAAAAGAGGGATTCCAATTAAGTAGCTCTAATCTTTACAAGCCTTAGAGCACTCCTGAAAATGCCCCCACTATTTAAGCTTCAATTTCGATATGCAGTCCTTCATCCCTCTCAGCTCTACATCCTTTTTGCAACGTCTATTTTAATATCTTTCACCATTTCCTGCGCATTCACCTTAGAAAACGTCATCAAACTCAACCCCCAAATTCATATAAAGTACTATGAAACGTGCACCTTTTTCGTGTTCCAAAGGAACTGCTTTGGTCACCATTGTATAAACATGGCGACCCCAACGTGATATCACATTATTTTCACCTTGACGTACAAAACTGAGTTGAGCTTACCTCTAGAAGGTAATCTGCAGCCTCGTAAGCGGCAGCCTTGAGACATTCATAGATATCTAGATGATAGATTTCTCGGTCCAAAGAGCAGAAAAGTTTTATCACATCCCCCTGTGTCAACTGTGGTTATAGAATAGGCATGTAAGGGTTCATTGGTGTCAATTAATTCAATGTACTATAGCAATTTAACATAACAATTCATGTTTCAATACCAGAAAATGCTCTTAACAGGTACTTTCGAGGAGAATCATATTCGCCTTGCGGTTGCTGGACTTCGTTAAATGTGAACTTAAGGAGGCTCCATAGGGTTTTTGTTCAAAGTTGGCGAGCGCGCTAGCGTATTGTTTTTCTAAAAAAATTTATGTTTTCGCTTTTTTAGATCACTAAAGGCCAATGAGCAAGGTTCTGACTATCGTTTATTTTACTTAAATATTATCAAAATTATTTTCACTATTAAGCGAAGGCTCCACGAAGGGAGGTGCTCGCCAGTACTAATTTGGCTTTGCCTTTGATTTTCTCCACTTTCCTTCGGTGAAATCTCTCAAAATTTTCACATTTTATGAAATTTGTCCTGCCGATCATTTAAAAGCATAAAAAATAGAGGTTAGAATGGTAGTTTCCTCGCTGTTGGGAATTTTGTGTTTTCTTCCTTTATCTCGAATTTGGTCTTATGAATTTTTTCTTATCAACAGGCCCTAGGAAGGACAGATCTTTTCCGCAACGTTGATTTTATTATCTTTAACTATTTCCTGCGCATTCACCTAAGAAAAACGTCATCAAAGTACTATGAAATGTGCACCTTTTTCGTGTTCCGAAGGACCTTTCGCCACGATTGTATAAACATGGCGATCCCAATTCCACCGAAGAAAACGCGATAAATCTTGCTCGAAAGATCCCTATTTTCTTTGTCACAAAACATTACTTAATGGAGTAGAACTTCGCCAAGAGCTGAGTATGCGTAAACTTTCGAATCTTTTGCATCATCTGTCGCCTTTTAGCAATCTTTCCCATGGTGTTTTCTTTTTGGTTGACCTCTTTTTCAGGCGCAGAAGGCCTATGGATATTATTGTGTGAAACTGTTAACACCTTTTCAGATAACAATCGTGCGATCGTATCGAGCCGCCATGTTTGTTTCGCACCCAGATCTCGCGGGCAAAAAAAAACCCTACGGGGCCTCCTGATGGAGGCTTGTAAATTGTGGAAATTTTGCGAGATTTTACGGAAGCAAACTGAAGAAAATAAAAGGCAAAGCCAAATTATCGCTGACGAATGCCTCCCTTCGTGGAGCGTTAGCTTCATAATTAAAACCATTTTGATGATATTAACTACATCAAACGATAATCCGAACCTTGGTCATTCCCTTTTGATGGCTTTTAGTGACCTTGAAAAGCGAAAACATAAAAATTTTCGAGAAAAAAACATTATGCTGGTGGGGATCAAAAAGATTGAAAACTAAACGAAACCAATCTAGACACCGACGCACACCCTTTTAATCCCAAAATCTGTTTCATGCCGAGGGAAAGAACAAGTTGGAAAGTCACTCTTAATTGCCTGCGAGTGCACTTTATCAGTTTAAAGTTTACTGGTTGCTTGTTATAACAGAACCTTAGCCATTCATTCCCGAACAATTTAAAAAATTTTGTCCTCGACTTAATTAATAAAAGGTTTGTCTAAGGCAGAGTATCCAGATTTCCCGATCACTGTGAATTGGATTGGTGACTTCTTTATCCTAATGTGTATACGAAAACAAACTAATTTACTTTCATCCCGAAATCTTCCAAAACATTCAACACCGAAGAAAGAAACCAGCAGAAAATTTACCTGATCCATGCGATATTTAAGTGACTCCCTTAATTTTTCTTGCCAAAGCTGCTGCAACTCATCGTCTTCAAGTTTTAAGGAGAGCATGGCTGTCCACCCCTTAAACAAAAACAAATAATTGAAGATGTATTTGCCACAGATTTTATGCATATCGTAAAATAACACCAGAAAGGAACACCAAATTTCTTTCCTTCAATTTGTATTGATACGCCCTGTAAACAGCAGAGGGGAGCAAGGTAATTATGTATGGTACAATCAAGAAAAGAAGCAGGCAGACAGACAAAAAATCAACTACAAGGAAGCAGGAAAAGCGAACAGTAAAACGAACAAACGTATGGACTCATGACTCAGAAATGACCGCCTGAATAATGCAATGCTACCTGTAATTCTTTATGGCGTTCATCTACTGTTTTGTCAATCAAGGTCACGTGCTTATCTAAGGAGCCTTGTAAAATCTGTAATGCCCCTTGAAATAAATGTATGCTTTCTTCGACTTTCTTTTCGTCCTCCTTTGGATGTGAAGAAAACTCTGCATCGGATGCAATGCGTTTTGCCATCACAAGGCTACTCCCAAGAAGAGTGAAGATATCAGAGAGAATCTGAATTCTCTCCCACAAGGTTGAATTGAGTTCCTTGAGTAGTCGACGCAGAAGATGTGCAGATGCTTTGGCTACGGACATAACGACGTAATAGTCGGCATCTTCCAGTCTGGCAAAATAAGGAATTTTAATTTAATTGCATTATAAAGCTTTTGTTTCTACATTTCTTAAAGCACCATGAGAAAGATATGTCGGCAATTTCACTACACCTTCTTAATCTTACACTTAACATTTATGGTCACAACATAAAACTAGTGAAAGTCGTGAATTATTTCCTTCTTCAAGTTGATGAAAAAATCTCCAATCTAGTATTTGCAAGTCTTACCTGTCAAAGTTATTCATTATTCTGGTATTCATCTCTCTTACGCACTGGGCGAGGTGATCCCACTGACGAGAGAAAGAAAATTGAAAAGAAACAATTGGAAAACAGGCCTTTTTTTCCTTTTTTCATTTTATCAAATAATGTCAGGGGCACGCATATAGGCCAGATGCTACTGCCCTTGACACCATACAGTTTAAGAACTTCCCTTTGCTGACAAGTGTCTCAAAAGTGTTATTCGATTGCAGCCATGCGGCAGATGATGTTGGCGGCTCAAAGAAAAAGGAGGAGAAGAAGTTGACGCATATACCACTACCTCTTCGTCAGGTAAGGATTCTTCCGCAACTCGAGTTACTGTCCATGCGACTTCATGAAGAGGTATGTGCACATCTCTTTGCAGCACCGTTGCTATGTCACGGAGAGGAAGTGCTAACAGAAACGTCCTTGTAAATAAGGGATCAAGCTCAAACATCGAACGGAGCTGAGAGAGAAGATGTACCGGGTTGCTACTCCTGCAATCGTAATTAAGTTAATAGACTTTAAGCAATTTTAAACTGTCATCGCAAAAATTATTGCATCAGCAGCATCAAAGTTTACAATAATTGTCACGCTACCTAGCTTTAAAGCTCCGCTTAATTTGTTTGTAATTCTAAGAATGGTTGAAGAAGCTGCCACCGTTCGAATTTAAAAGTTTTATTCACCATTGCCGCTGCTTTCATTCACCTTCGTTGACGTGACCAAAGTCTTCAAAAAGACGAGTAGGTAAGGACTATGAAAAAACGAATTCTGAGCCTTGATTTTATGGTTATCATTACGTAACAATTTATGTCATTAACTTAACTGATAATATCAATTAAATTGAAACACTTTTACCTGGAGAAGGAAGCCTGTCGCCGAACAGTTTTGAAATCCAAGCCTTGTGTTCCCCACCAGTTGTTATCTTCTAATGAACGCGGTTCTGGGGTCAACTCTTCAAAAGAGAACGGCTTACTGGTATCGGACAAAAAATGAAGCAATGGCATCGCAAATAACCAATGAAATACACCTCGACGATATTCGATGACGTACATGCAAAGTTGTAACAAGTAGTTGGCCAGAGAGCTGAGAAATATAAGTACAACTTTTAGTACCCCTGACAAGTGTTATCACTATTCACAAATGATGTGTACATACATGTCTAAGTAGAGTAAATTGTTATAGGAGAATTCATTTATAATTTGAGATCACGCAATATATTAATTATGTAAAACACCCGAAAGAAGAACGTGGATAAATGAAGAGAGAATATATAATTAAGAAAGAAGATGTCTCTTGCTTTATGCAACATCAGAATATGCATGCTGTCGTTGTAAGTGCTTACTCTCGTCCAGCATCTTTAGTTTTTTGGTCATCCTTTTTTGAAAAAGGGATTAAAACAACCTTATCATCACTATCCCAATATCATTTAGCCTATCGACCGAACATAAGTGAGAAGGACGCTACACGGTCGTTTGCGCACACATTTAAATTGACTTGCTTTTTTTTTTCATGTTTGTTTGTTTGTTTTTTTCAAATTTCTCGGAAAACTCTGCAAGTATAGGAAAACAACAAATATTACCTTTGAGACTGTTCTTTCGGAAAGTGTCGATGTAAAGCGTCAAGCCCACCGCACTTTTTTCTCTCAGTATCGCCATGTAATAGGAGACACTCAAAAAGTTTCCTCAATTCGTCATCTCCAAAAAAAGCTTGTTCATGGCCAACGGCGACGGATACAATTATCGCTGACGTGACAAGTATCCTGGCTTGAGATTCCTCATCCTCGGTATGAACTTGCTGTGTCTGGATGTTGCGGTTTAATTGCGGGGAAATGTATCCATGTAATACCTTATAATACAATAAAGCGTTTCAACATCAACTATACTGAGAAATGGGGACTTCCCGTAGTTACTTACTGACAAGCCTACTCTACCAGTTCATGATACGTACTTCACCATTTCGCATTTCTATACTGTGACTGTTCGCTCTCTTAACAAACTCTACTTTTGTGCCTGTTATTAGTACATCAAAACGTGTTCTTCTACTTAACAGATACCTCATAGTATAGCTTTGATCAATGTAATAAACTTTGATAAAACGTTTCCCACCAGAATTCGTAGTGCGTCTTTACGCGAATGGTTTCTAAGTAGACGAAAACAAAAATCAACCTTTTTTTCACTTTAACGAAAAAAGAAAAAATATTCAAAATGCACTAACCTGTACTGCATTAAAGCCATCTGGAATACGCGGATGAAAATTACCGCCGTTCTCAAACTCGGCCCTTGACATACAGTAGAGCACATTGTTGATTTTATCCAGTGTAGCTTGCCCATTGGTTCCTTCCTTTTCGGAGATTTCTCCCCATTTTGGGAGCATGGCCATCATCGCCAATCGGCGGCCCTCTGCGGCATCATCGACTTTCCATTGAGGGAAGAGGCTGCGAATAGAATCCCAAAAACCAGGTTGACTGAAGACTGCATCGTCATACTGGTGCCATGTAGCTGTAGAAATTTCAAAGAAAACAATTACTCGTCGAAAAAAATGAAAGGAAGGGTGAAGTGAAGGAAGAAAAGATGGAAGAAACGAATGCAATACAAATACAATATATAGCTACAATATATAAATACATGAAATCAAAGGCACATCATATCTAATTTCCCGAAGATTTTCGATCTAATTTGAAATACATATAATATACCCTAAACTGTGGGTGCTTCAAAGCATTGATGCCTAACTATATATATGCAAGGCTGAGAAGCCCTCACGTAGCTTTATATTACCAAGAGGGCTTTGTTTTAGTCCTACCGTTGGCTTTAAGTGAACTTTCTGGGATGCGTAGACATCGATTCACATGTCTCCCAGGATTTAATGGCCTGAACCCAATAAGACACTCCCAACGATCCTTAACTATCTTTCCTTTAGCATTTCCTTGACTGCTTGGCACCACAACATACTTATAGGCAATCGATCGAGAGGCCTCGCTGAGAGAAAAATTAGCTTTCCCCTCAAGCAGGTAATTGTGGCCTTTCACCTCCCTGAAAATAACATGTAACAAACGATCTCGTCAAACGGTCAAGCAATATCAGTTTCTCTCTTCAAAATTTTATTTTTTATTAAGTTAATTATTATTTAATGAGAAACCGGAGAAGGTTGCAGTTTGCTAAAAGTGTCAAATTAGAAACGGTTTTGACTTTCGACATTTTGAAGGACGATGATGGAGTGAAGAGGCTCTTCACCACAATTGTTGATGATGTGAATCATCTTCTACCAGCTCTGTTCCTGCATAGGAAAAAAAGACATACACAGGGAACACAAAAATGAACGGAAAAAGGAAGTACAGTATGGTTCAGAAAAGAGCTTTATCAAATTTAAATACCTTAGAGGTCGCATCTCGATCTGTCCAGTTCCAGAATTCCACGAGAGTGGGGGGTCTCCACGTAAAAACACTTTGTCACCTTGATTAAAGTTCGCGTTAAAAGTTGGCGTCAGTAAAGCATGAAAAATAACTGTAATAGACGCGTCTTGGTTTGCCTTTGTTTTCCCATTCGAAGGTTGATCAGCCTTGGGTGGTTCGTCTTCACAAGCTGTCTTCTGAGCTTCGGATGTTGCAGTCAAATTGTCGTCTACCGTACCTTCTTCATTGGGGTTATTGGTATTTTCAGTAGCCTCGTTATCTCCCTTATTGTTCAAATAATAGCCATTATTTGGTGGCGGTGCTGAAACTGCACCAAAATCAGTGACCACCGACTGGTTAGCTTGTTTATTGTCATTTCCTGGTGGTATTGCATTACTTCCAGGGTCTAAGGGCGCACAAGGGTCGATACTGTTTTGATGTGCGCATGCAGTACCTTCGGTGTTTGTGGTTGTTTGGTTGTCATTCAAGGTATCGTCGTTTTTCTTTTCCTTTTGGCACTGAACTTTACCGTGTTCTTCCACTTGTTTGGGATTGTTTACTTTCTGTCCATCACCGAATTGGATAAGCATCTCTCTACTGTTTCGACCTCGCTCTTCCACATTATCTTCAAGGGATACACCACTACAAGGAAGACCAAAGAATCCTAATTTATCAACTATTCTATTGGAGGCTCGCAAGGTTTGACAAGGTAGAAAGATATATATTACTTAATTTGAGAAATTTACAACAGTAAGATATACCGAGATGACAAAGCGTTAATCATGACAATAATGATTTCTTAACTCACTTCTTGCGCTGTGTTTTAACTTCATGTTGATCTTTAATCTGAGTGTCCGTCAGTACCTGAAAAACCAAGAGAAACCAATCGAGGCAATAAATTTAGTTACGCACAGACATTATGCGCACGCCATCATCACATTCCCTAAATACCTACGTAACAGATTTCCAAGATGACCGAACATTTAAAGCTACAAAGAACTACTGGTTAGCTGTAAAATATACTTTGATGTTCTTATTGACAGAGACATCCAAACTTTAAGTTTGCCACCAAGTGAGACCGTCAATTTCTAACAGGAAAGTTGGCACACCTGTAAGCGTCCCCAACTATATATCATTCAAAAAAACTGGTCCACAATGCTTCCCTCGGTTTCTTTGACTCAAACTATGGGAGAGCAATCAATGTTTAGAAAGGCCGTCAACTCACAGTCAGGTTTCATAAAGTGATTTTTCGAGGATCCAAATATCGGTAAAAACAGCTACAAAGTTTTTTATTTGTTCATGTCGAAAAAAGTGTATTAGTACAGCCTAAATCCCAGTTCTGCAGACGTTAGCACTTACCGTAGTAGCCGTTGCACTTTCACCAC